TGGCGGCCATTTTTCAAAATTGTTTTCAAAATGGCCGCCTTCTACCAAAATTCATAACTGTCATAGGACAGTGTGCCATGCTTATAGTATTCACATACCAAATATGAACAAAATCGCTCCACTACTTTTCGAGTTATAGTAAAATACGTTAAAATGGCGGCCATTTTTCAAAATGGCCGCCTTCTACCAAAAGTGTCTTTAGACAGTGTACAATGCTTATAGTATTCACACACCAAATATGAACAAAATCGCTCCACTATTTTTAGAGTTACAGCAAAAACCGTAAAATGACGAGTAAAGGCCGCCATTTTTCAAGATGGCTGCCATGTGCTTTTTAATATCTACATTTGTAGCATTATTAATGTCCTTTATAATTTTTTTTACATTTAAAACATATTGCTATTACAGTTTTACATATTGCACCTAAATTACTGTAAAATCGTCACTAAAATGGCCGCCATTTTGAAATGAGCGGCCATTTTGAAAATCGGCTTTCGAGCAGAACTTCTACCCCCATAGGGTATATGTGTACGAAATATGAACAAAATCGGGCCAACGGTATTTGAGTTATTGCCCGGACGGACGGACGGACAGACGGACGGACGGACGGACGTACGTACGGACGGACGGACGTACGTACGGACGGACGGACGGAGGCGTTCCCTATATCCCTCCGAACTTCGTTCGATGGGATAATAATTCTTTAGGAAATTTTACATTTTGACTAGCTGACTGACACATGTATTCTTTTTAAAATATGATGACAGAAAATAATCTTATAACTATACATTATTTAATTTGGATTGTGTTTTGCAATTATTAATCAGGGGTGCAGCCAGCGTTCAGTCAGGAGAGGGGGATTGCGATTGTGGCATAAGCAACCCAAAAATGTTTTAAAGATTTGTTTTGAATTTTACAAAAATTGATGCACCTTCCTTCAAAACTGAGCTAGAAGCTTCAGGTCAAAATGCTTTTAAAGCTCTTCTTCTATTTAATGTTTCTATTTTTATGTTTATGGGGGCGCACCCATCGCACCCCCTGGCAATGCATATCTTAATCCAATATGATGTTGCTATGGTAACTAGGTGAATATGCCACCCCCACTGTTCAGGGCTTTTTCAAAGTTTTGCTTCTATCTTTGTCATGATTACAGCTTGAGTGTGTATGCAATATTCACCAAATTGAAGCTAAAAATCAGACAATGCATGGATTATGTAGATTGACTGACTGGCATGCCCATCGTGGCATTAATAGCTGCTAATGGTTTTGAAATCCGAAAAAATGTTCAACGTCAATGTACATAAAAAAATAATATCATTTTATGGTATAGGTCAATACTTTAGCCTTTTCATTATTTTAGGTCACGTAGACATAACTGTACCAATTTTGAACCGAATGGTTGGATGTCAGATTTCAAAACCAAAAGCATATCTTAAATCAGGGGCTTCCATACTCCATACTTGTAAAGAAATGGAATTAATCATAGTTTTCAGCTTTGACCTCATTTTATGGTGAATGTCAAAGGACAAGGTTCCAATTACCCAAATGCGAGTAGGTAGTTACCAGTTTCACCACCAGGTGGCTGATTCGGGTCAATTAACATGGCAGGTATATAAGAAAGTTCCCTTAAACTTGAATATTATCAATTTAAGTGGCTTAATTTTAATATAACCCTTATGTGTCTGATACTTATACTAATGAAAATATGTCCAGTAAAGCAAAATATTATCTGTCCACTAAAAGAAAAGATATTTCATTTTTTGTGATTTTATAGCATGGGGTCTATGGGGAATCTCCCCGAGCTAGAAGTCACATTTTCAAAGAAAATTAATTTTTCAAAGTTGATAAACACTTTTTAAAACCACATTTCTAGATGTAATTTTACATGTAGATTTTAAATATGATATTACTTTAACTGACTTTTGAATTTTTAATGACGTAAATCAAGATTATTTCTACTCGCATCTGGGTTATTTGGAACCATTTTGAGCAATTTTACCTTATTGCAAGAGATAATCACAAAAAGCAGCTATGATACCATAACAGGTACTGTACTCCTGATATTTTTCGCCTGCGATTTAGTTTCATGCTTTATAAAAAAGCGAAAAATTAATCTTTGCGAAATTGTCAATTAAATCCCGGGGATTTCTGAAATTTATTATTACAATTTGTGTTTTGTAAAATGTTTGTCAAGTGTTTTAGGCGATTAATGGGATAGTAGGTACCAATGTCTGTTACAGATGAACCATTTTGAGCAATTTTACCTTGTTTCAAGAAAATAATCACAAAAACAGCTATGATACCACAACAGGTACTTAGTATGTCAGTCAGCCAATCTACATTTTTCATGTATTGTCTGAATCACCTAGCATATTCACCTAATGGTTACCATAGCAACATCAAGTTGGATGAACATAGGCAGTGCTTAGGGGGGGGGGGGGGGGGGTTGTGCGCTGGGTTCACCTACCCCCTCATATCCGATAAAAATAAAACCATTAGATAAAAGAAGGCTTTCGACTTGAAACTTTTTGCTAAACTTTGTAAAACTTTTTGTAAAATTCAAAACCTATCTTATAAATACTTTTGGGTTGCCTGTGCCACGATCACAGGCCCCCTTCTGACTGAAAGCTGGCTGCGCCCCTGATTTAAAATTGCCATTATGACATCATAATATAACACAATCCAAATTTAATAACTATGGTTATTAGATTATTTTCTGTCATCAAATTTTAAAAAGAGTACATGTCAGTCAACTGGTCAAAATGTAACATTTCCTAAAGAACTCTTGTTTACAGCAGATAGTTTTGTTACATGCTGTCACCAAAGCAACAGTGTAAGCAACACTTTCATTATATTTATTCAACTTTTATGATCATACATGTGTGAATAGAATAACTAAAAACTCAACTAAAAGAAATAAACAAGACTAGTTAAAAGCATTATACGGACCATTTTAAAGACAATAATTTACCAGATCTATACATTATGATTAAAATGAAATATGCAAGAACAAACAGTTATGACGTCATAATTGATATGCAAATCATCATATTTGCATATATTAAAATCTGTGTGATTGCTCTATCTATTACCTTTCATTTGGTGCAAATTTCATCTTAATCTTAGCAATAATGACTAAGTTAGGGGCCAAACACTGAAAATAGCTCCGAAAAATGGGCGTTGCATATTTACTTTGTTACCATTGCAACGCCATATCGGATCCAGAATTGCCAACTTAATATTTCCTGATTGCATTATCCATTAGCTTCCATTTGGTATGAATTTCATCTAAATCTGAACAAAAATGACAGAGATAGGGGCCATACACTGAAAAGAGCCCCCAAAAGTGGGCGTGGCATATTTACTTGGTTACCATAGCAATGCCGTCGCGGATTCAGAATTGCCAACATCATTTTTCTTGGTAAGTATCACGTATAGTTCATGAAAATATATGTCACTTAGCTCGCCTCTAAAAAGGACACGGAATGACCTTTGCTCCCATACTATATACATGTATTTAAAAAAATGTTTGGAATTTCAAATCAATCTAGCCATGATATTGCCATATGAAAAAAAGATTTTAGTCTCATAATATGTTGACATGGAACAAACATTACCCAAACCTGAACAATTTTTATCATCTTTATAAATGATATAATGCTAACTTAACTTCTTCAGTTATAGCCCATTACTCCTTAAATTAAAAATATCCCACAAAAATGTAACATGTCTTTGTCTTAACTCTACTAATTCATGACCATGGTAATATCGTTACAGATAAAGATCAAAAATCTGTTGAACCAAAACATATGCAAAATGCTGACACCAACATCTGCTCATAAAAAAGAAAGCTACATAGTAACATATCATCCTAGTGTTGCCATAACAAGAAGCCACTTTGGATATAGAACAAATAGGTGCGATGAGTGCCACAATCGCATCCCCCTCTGACTGAAAACCAAATTTTTTTGCGATTGCAACCCCCTGACTGAAAGCTTGCTACGCCCCTGGATTTATTCAAGAAGACACTACACTGAGGACTGTGCAGATGCTAAAATCAAACCAAAACGGCCAACCTCTGCTCGTCAATTCAAAGTCTTATTTCACCAAGATGCAAGCTCTGGCTGATATGCTTCACTGTCATTCCATGTCAGTCTCATGGAGTCATGTTCTTTTAATATGTTCTAAGGACATCTTTGAATAGACAAGGCTCAAAAATCGAATTTTGTTATTCTGGATTGTCAGGGAGGGATGTTCAATTTTCCCAAAATAATACAATATAGTAGAGTTTAAGCCCAAATTCTCACAAGCCTTCGAATATTTTTGTCATTTTTCAATGAAATTTCAAAAGCAGGCTATAAAAGCTGAACCAAATAAAACAACAAGTACTTGAATTATTGCCTGGACATTAGTGATCTGCGGTATTGCCGGAAGTACCGTTACGGTGGCATTCTGCACTAATGTCGGTACTGAAATTCCAATACCGGAATATCTGAAGAATCAATTAAACTTACCAGAAATCTCAAGATTATAATTATTATAAGTGTTTAACATCGATAAAAAGTGAAGAAAAGTAATCTTTTTCACATTGGAAATATTTACATTTTGTTTTTATCTCCTTTTTGAAGAGTTAAGGGCACCACCTAGCGAGCGGAAGAACTTGTCAAAAAATGAAAATATTTTTCTTTTTTTTCAATTTGAGGAATGACTATGATAAATAGCTAGATGTCTTAATAATTCAACGCAGAAATTATCAATAATCAGGTAAGACATTGATAAATCATGACTATAAACTGTGTTTGTATGAAATGGACCAAATTCACCACCAAAAACTTTGGCAAAATCTAAACTCAGTCACAGAAAGTACGAATTCGCGAACGTAGACCCAAAACCGCGGTATTTGGTAAGGGTAAGGTATTGAATTGGGGTAATACCGGCACCAGTTTTCACTACCATTTGGAACACTACCGGACATAGGCCACGAACACACATATACTTACCAAGCTTTGATGTCATGGTTGAGTGTTTTTTCCTCCCTGCTAAAGTGTGTCAGTCCGTAATTAAAATCTGAAAGCATAGATAAGACTTTGTCAGAAGAAAAAGATTCTCTCTAATAACATATCTTGCGAATCCTTACTTAGATAATTGCTGTATCTAAAATACTTAATGTAAAAGATACAGGCGTACAGACATATTTATCACTACTATTGAAGGGGTTGTGGTGCTCTATAAGTCTACTAATGATGTGATAATAATGATTCAAACAAAATAGGCAAACTCGTCAAAATGCTTTTAGGTTTTGTTCCAATATGTAATTTAGATAACAACATGTAATTATTTATTCAAATCTAAAAAAACTGAAATGACAATTTGCATGATCTCGGATTTTACAGCATACATGGAAATTTTCAAATAATGCTACAAATTATGCAGTAATGGAATATTGGTACCAGTTATGACTGACTTCGGAATTTGGACACAAATCATTTACAAAGATATTTCAGTACAGTATATAAATGACAGAACTAAAATATCAATTTCTAAATGCAAATATATAACCTTAAACATCTCTTATAGAACCTAGAAAAGAATGTAGTGATGCATATTTTTTGCCTGGCATATCACTTAATCACTTATCACTAAATCCAAAAATAGGCGAGCCAGGTATTTGTTGTTATGTGGTTCTCTTATAATACAGTGATCTCCCCAGCATTAAAGCAAGTGGGTGTAGCACTCACCTGAGATTTTGAAAACAACCTTGTACCCACCTGAAAATCCATTTGCACCCACTTGAAAATGAAAAAATCATGAAAATTGGACCAATTTTGATGATCAATTTTGATCTGAATTGTGAAAATGAGAATTTTGCACCCACTTGGGAAAAAATCCTGTGGAGAACACTGTAATATGATTATAGACATTGGCAACGCTGATGTCTTGAAGTGGTGTTCACTAAACACATGTGTTCACTAGAGAGAGGTGTTCACTAAGACAGGTTTTACTGTGGCTACAGGATCAGAAATGATCAAATTGACAAAAACATACTTATTTGCTAGTTCGCATTAATGGTTTTATACTTTTACTGATACAAAACAAAAACTCAATAATTAATCATCATATTTTCAGAGTAACAAAATGCTATGAGCACTGTATGCAAGACAATGTTCCTTACAAAAGAGAATCATTTAGAGCAACCTATTTAAGATTGATTTTCTTATAGAACATGAAAGGTTTCTAGATGTATATACCAAAACATGGTCGGTGTTACTTTGGTATTTCTACAAAATGTTACTTTGAATTTTCCATCAACACTGCAGCATTCCTCAGGCCAGAAAATTTTCATAATTTGATCTTTTTTTTTTTTTTTTTATTCCTTCATTCTTATTTATGTACATGTAAATGTAAATATAAATATGTACATGTAAATGTAAGGCAATTTATAATATAAATAAAATTTACATAGACAAAAAAATACACTTATAGTTATGTTGTAAATATATGTTGACTAAATGAATGTTGAATAAAATTGCAATTGTTGTTGATTGTTGATTGATAAAAGAATGAGTAAGAATAAAGTGTATGTAAAACCAATGCAAGGGATGTGCTTTCATATCCTATTTTGATGCTGTTTACTATATGTTGTAAAGGGATCTACAATGTTTTTATTTACTGCTTGAATATCTTTTGAGCAGTTTTCCATGCTTTGTCATGGGCTTCTAACTTGTTATTCTTCTCTGCATTGCTTCTGCTTATGATTTCCTGGGCTTCAACATATTTCTTGAGGCCTGTCATATTTGGTGGTTTATTGTCTAATTTGTTGAGATAGATGTAGTGTTTAACCAAGAGTAGCGTCAGGTTTTCTCCCAAACTGGTGTTCTCTCCTAGGAAGTATTTTGCTCGTCAGGTTTTGTATTTCACACAGTTGGGTGACCATCTCTATGAATGGTTTGACAGCTATACATTCGTATAGACCATGTTCGATGGTATCCTGTTTGTCTTCTTTACACAATTCACATTGTGGGCTTGTTTTGATTTTCATATTGTGTAGCATTTTGTTGAAAAATATTGTTCGAAGTAATATTCTATATTGGAAATATCTCAGTTTTGTTTCCTTTGTTGTTATGTATATTCTACAGTAGTTGCATTTCCAGTTTATATTTGTGTTGTCTATCGCCTTTTCCCATAGTTGTTGTTGTTTTATTGGTTCTTCAGTGTGGCTTTTTATTAGTATGTTATATGTATCCTTATTCGTCATTGTTTGTAGTTCCTTTATAGAAATGGATTCTTCTTTCACATCAGTTTCTGTCTCGGTCCTTCTCTGTGTTTTTATTTGGTTTCTCCATTCTGCTGGTATGCTGTGTATGATGTGGTACCATTGAATGAATGTTGTGTTTATTAAATCAAATTTCCTTTTCAGTGCTTGGTACGGGATTAATTGATTGTCCTCATACAACTGTTTGATATATATTATCCCTTTGGATTTCCACCCCTCTATATATAAGGTCTCTCTTCTATTTTGTACATGTCTATTGTTCCAAATTATCTGGTTTTCGGGTGTATGGATGTCCTTGTACTCCTTATAATGTATTGCACACCATGCATTGTATACGTCCCTTGCTGCTGTAAGTTTGATGTTGCTGGCAATCATCGGATTGATTTCTCTGAGGTTGTATTCCCATGCATGTTCTCTGATAATTTGATCTTGAAATATTAGACATGTTTGCCTAAATCCTCAGTTACATTTGATTTAGGGCAACCGTACAGCCCCCCCCCCCCTAGCTTCCCAAAATCTAGAGAAATATGCAGCATGAAATATAGGGATAAATAGATTTTGCGAAGCCATGACTGCTGTATGGCTGCTGTAAAGCAAATGTAACTGAGGCATAAAAGTTGTGACAAAGCAAGTTAGCCCCTCCTTTTCCAACAGACTTTTAACCAGGCACATGGTGAACAATATCATACCTCACAATCAAAAATGGCCACCTCATAATTTACTCATGACAAGCTAATCAGTTCTTGATCGTTGTTTCAAGAAATATATCTGAAAATTGGTTTCAATAATTAGATTCCTTCTAGTGGTCTGTCTGGCAATGCACAGATAAGAAAGTGCGATATATCTTTTTAGGTTTAATATGAGAAAAAGTGCAACTCCTAAAGTAGCAAAACCCACCAAACAAAACAAATTTTATCAAATCACTAATCATTTTGAACACAATATGATAGAAATAACCAGGCAGTTGTATACCGTCTCCTTTTAACAAAATTTACATCCATGATATGACATAAGCATATAGAATTCTGACCAAAACATGATACCAGTAATTGAATTATTATAAAAAATTATTTCAGTATATGAAATCCGTACCAAATATGACAGCTGGTATTTCAGTTCTCAAAAAGTTTTCAGCCTACTAAGTTTCAACCCAATTTGTCAACCACGCCCCGAACAGACAAACAAACGAACAAACAAATAAAAAAACAGATGAACTATATTTAGTGGGATAATAAATATTCAAAGAGTAACGCAAAAATATGTAAAAATTAAGACATAATTTACTAAAATTTCATTTAGTGTAAAGAAATAGATTTTCAAGAAAAAATAAATTGTTAATTGGTATTTCAGTTATTGCCAGACTAACTGAAGGACAGATAGAGGGCTCCACTATTACTTTGTAGATGCCTAATAAATAGGCTTTTTCTCTTAAATTCATCATCTTCTTGGAGTCTGATAAGTTACCATAATGAGATTTTAGCTACAATCAATCAAAATAGGAATGACTATAATCATCCAATAATTCCAAGGGGTCCTTTTGAGAGAAGTGTTAATGTCCTATTACTCTTAGAACTCTTTCAAGGCCATCGATCCTTACAGGATATCATGAGCATTGTATGTTTTAATCACTAAAACAAAGGAATAAATGTCACATTTTAACATCAAAACTTAAAGGCTACAACATACAATATGTAATATAGTTAACGAACGTAAGCATAAAATGTTATTCTCATCAATACATGTAGACATATTGATGGCATAATGAGATTATGTTATTGTTAGGGCCTGATATCAAGATATTGATTGAAGTAGAATTGCTTCTGGCATTCATTGAATACATGTTAGTGGTTTTCAAGGAAAATATTTTGCCAAATATGCTTATATTGAGAATATCGATTCACCTTTGCGAACTTTAGTAAGTCAATTTTAGTAGACATTCATAATCTATTGTCTGGATAACTACATGGTTATATGGATATAAAATTCCCAACTATTCTTTCTCAACTGGATGAAATATCTTTAATTTACCCAAAAAATCTGGTCAATTCTTAATTTCATCTCAGCACGAAGAAAATGCAAGTTAATCCAATGAGTATTTACTTCAAAGCTTTGATGCTCACTGCATTCAAGTTAAATGGCAAATCCAATCCAGCTACAAGCCATTTGTGACCCCCCACTGCAACCAGTGTGAAAAGGTGTAAGTCAAATAGAGAGAGAGGGGGGGGGACTTGTAGCTAGACTATGGCAAATTTTTCTTTTCAATATCTACTCTGAATGCTAGAATGCTCAGAGCAAGAATCAAGCAAGTGAGCGTATATCATGTCTGTTAATTAAGATGCTACACAGACAAGGTTTCAAGTTAAGTATTGAAAACTGGATGAACAACTTCCTAAATTCCAAGCCAATATTTTTCTATTGTCAGGAAATCAATAAGCTCTTTTATGTGCATCATCTGCAAGTGTCTTCTGAACTAGACTTTTTAATTTGGTCCATTATTCAGAAACCCTATCAACTGAGTAAAATTATATCAGAACAAATGGTCCACATAGTTATCGTTTTCAGAGAAGTCATTGTTCCAGTGCTAAGGTCTTATCTATTGCACTGATTGTCTATTGCATTTGGTAGTCACAGAACGAAATCTAACACTGATCTGGAAGTTTATGTTAATGAATTCAATTAATTTCTAAATTGGAGTTAATGAATGTTTAAGTTAATGGATTATGTATATACATGTATACATAAAAGTTGTTATTCAATGAATACTAATACTAAAATTATACTATACTGTCACAGGCAAATTTTTTCATTGGCCTTTTCGGACAAAGAGGCTACAAAACTTTCAAAACTGATCCAGATTTTCAATGATGTTTGCCCCCTCCTTGTCAATTTACTGATAAATATATTGGTGTATAGGCACATTTAATTACGACTGTGTGGTTCCCACTGGGTTACTAACTAAATGGATAGACGGACTTCCATCAGAGGAAATTTTTTTTTTAATAATTTTTACCAAGAAGGAGGTTGAAAATGTATACAAATATTTTACCCATCTGTTTATAGTAACATCAGGTTCCAAGGGCTTCAATTATCAAGTGAGAAACCCCTTGCTTTAGCGACCAGGATGTTAACACAATGCAACCAAGATGTTAACACAACACAACTAAGATGTTAACACAACGCAACCAAGATGTTATACAAAATTCACCAGATAACATCATGGAAATTCACTTGATTGTTGGAGCTGCTGGATATACATTAAATATATCTTATAAATGAATACACTTCTTCAATTTTGTGCATTCTTACATAACCTTTGCTACTCTAATGCAGACTTTTTAATAAAAAAATCTGTCTTATTTTCCAAACATAATCACAAATTTATGTATTTGAAATATGAACTCAATCACTCAGTAGAGAAACTGAATGTTACATCTCTGAAGAATGAAAAATCAGGAAATTTGGAGTCATAGGAAATGAAGTCAAGTAACATCTCTTATCATGTCTTATAGACATATTAACCCTCCCCCCCTCAGTTCAATCCCCATCCGTTAAATTTTAATTTTTTTCAATTAATTTTTATATAACATATAAAAACTTATTTTAAAAAACCAGCAATGACAAATAACGTCCCTTTTAAGTATTTTATTACAAGCCATGCTGACCATCATTGACTTTTACATTTTGGTGAAAATGCATCTTTTTTAATAGATCTCATATCTTAGAAGCGTATCAGTTCAAAAAAATCTAAGAAGACCTAACATATTTTACCATACTGTGCACCTATTAATTTAGCAATTCAATCATAGTTTTTCTCTTGAAAAAATCGTCCATATTTGTTGAATTCTTGAAGAAATTGTCGTATCCCCCCTAATCCCCCCTATCCCCCTCCGTTCATTCTGTCCTATCACCGGGGCATGCACAAACTTTATGTTGAGAGAATGATTCATCTGCAATTCATTAACCTGAGCCTAAGATTACCATTCACTTCAAAATTTAGCTCAACAAGTTAAACCTAAAATCTGGCCTTATTTCTTAACTGATATCTCTTGTGACCCGACTAGGTTTGACTTCCAAAAATGATCAGAATACCCACATTTCACAATTATAAATGAACATTTAACACAAAGTTTTACGTGGAATTTTTTGATGGAAGGTGTTTCTATATTATTGTCTTGTTGAGCATCTTTCGCATATCATCAAGGAAAATTGGATATAATCAATCGTGAAGTTTGACCCCCAACTTGATATTCTTAATCTCTTCAAGCAATTTGTTAAGCGCTGATCATGACTGCATATTTCTATAAAGAGAATGGCTGATATTCTAGCAGTAGCAACAACCTTGAGCGATGACGAAAATGTCGCTACTGTCTGATATTTCAAATGGCTGTAAATAGCAATAGCAATCAAAAGCAAATTAGCAATCTAAAAGATTTTAACTAATATCTTAATCACTTCTGGTGAGCTTTGAGATCTTTGTTAATAAGACCAAAAACTCGCGATTCAAATTCTGTGAAAAAATGGTGACTGTTAATTTTGAATTTTGTAATCACGACACAAGGCAGAATATCGACTAGGAACCCTGGGAGCGAATCCTGCACATCCCAATTGTTAGCTGCATGAATACATAGCACAGAAGTTAAACCCAAATTGGCCTCAAGAAAATACACATTAATAAATTAAGGCTGTTACGTTTGCTTGTTGGAGCCTAGATTCAGACTTCAGATTCAGGTCATTTTTTCCAATATTTTTAGAATGTGAACACAATTCAAATACATAATTTACGCACATCCTATCTTATATCAAAGTAAGCCTTACCTTAGTATGTTATTCTACTCCTCTTCTATCGATGGAGCATACTATTGTCGCTAAAAATTTGCTTGATTAGAAGAAAACTGAGAAAGTACGGAAATTTTATATGAATTTTTCAACACCCCTTCACCTTTGACATTTTATCTTGGAGTTGTACATTTTGGTAGCGAAATGTTTATTTTTTCAAGTTTTTTTATTTATAAAATTTGATATTTTGTCAATATATTTGATAAATAACATTCAGTAGGATCTATTGATATTGTGGCCCAAAATGTTGTGATTAATGAGATATCTTAGAATTTCTGAAGTCACATGTCATTCACTCCGGATTAAGTTGCTACTCTAAACAAGATGGCGGAATACGAAGGTAAAATATTTCAACTATTTTGTCAAATTATGAAGTATTCATAGAACTCATCGTGTATATTGTGATAGTAATATTGGCGGTTGTATATAAAGTATAATTTAAAGAACATTTTTGGAATAGAATGACAAAAAGAAATCAGTAGTCTAGGCTAACTAACTTTACCCACAACATTTTAGAAATCGGGTCTAAAATTTAGCCTAGCTGAGTAGCTCTAGGCGAACTCCCGTGCAGTGATATATCACTGCTGCAGGTATCTCACCGTAAGCATGGTAACGTCGTAATAAACAACTGACGTGATTGGTTCTAGTCCCATGCTCAGGTCGCGTGATTGTAAAATTTACTACTTTTTTCAAGGCCTGACTGCGTCGCTAACATGCTAAATATAAGAGTTACAGTTCGGGACATAAATAAATGACAGGAAGATTTGCTGAAGTGAGAATTTCCCATGTTAAAAATGAGAGAATTTTCAAGAGGCCATACATCAGTGGATGAGATTATACAAAATGTGAAATATACAAATTTTAAGGGATATGTGTCTAGACAATATTGGAAATTATGGGCTTTCAGACGACCATAATTAGGAAATGGTGATCGAAAATCGACCTGTCATTTATTTTTGTCCCCAACTGTAGCTGACGTTTGGGAGTCTGACTTACCTTCTAAAGGTTAGAACCCGAATCTTAATGAAACCATATCACCTTTGTTGCATCGATGATGATGCATAAACATAGCATTTGATAGAAATTAGCGTAAATGCTTTTCCGACTTTTTCATTTTTCATCAATGTTGACTTCCGGGAAGGCGTTGTAGTTATCACGAAATAACGCATTGACCCTTGAACTTTACTTTGTTGACGTGTCAACCAAGCATGTCTGGTGTGAAAATTAAAAGAATATTAAGCAATGTTCTACATCCGCCAAGCTAAGTGAAGTAGTCAATATTTAAAATTACCAATTTCAAGTGAAGTACGCAACGAACGAAACTGCGTGATCTACACTCCCACTATTGGTCTGAATGAAATGCTACGTAGAAATATGAGCCGTCTGCTGTATTAGTCGATTAATAGAGTAAGACCTGTTGGTGATGCTTTATAATTTAGACCAAAACATTGAAGAACAAACGAACCTGTAAATCGTGAAAACAACGAACAAATTTTCGGTTTTCACATATGTTCGGTAATTTTTCGTATTGAAACTTCCGGAACTTACAAGGAAATCATTCATTTCCTCGATCCATGATTTACCTCTTGGATGTTGTGGCAAATGCTCCATGGTTGACGGAACAAATTTGATATGGTTTCATTAAGATTCGGGTTCTAACCTTTAGAAGGTAAGTCAGACTCCCAAACGTCAGCTAACTCTTATATTTAGCATGTTAGCGACGAAGTCAGGCCTTGAAAAAAGTAGTAGACAATTTCATTGATTGAATTGCGCGTATTAACTAATAAACAACACGTGCGGTAAACTATTACCAACACAACTTTTACTCAGAATTCCTTCCACGGTGATTTCTTCTCATATTTCAATAATTTTGAAATATTTTGACAAAATAATGTTTGGGGAACATTTATGGATACATATTTCATAAGTTGTGTGAAAATTGACCACATATATGATGAAAAGGGGAACTATTTTTCTACAAATTTTGAGGATTTTCTTCATCTGCCCGCCGCAGTGTCTATACCGAGACACTGCATGGGAGTTCGAGCTCTAGGCCTAGGCTTAGTCAATCTTTTTCCTGTAGTCTGCCTGTACTAACGATTACAACATGGGAGAATAAATTATCCACGTCTCTTACATATGAAATACTTACCTCAATAAATTTTAGGATTCTTTTTCTGAAGTTGAATCCCCAATCGTAGTGTTCCTACCAAAACGGATTTGCCTACATACCCCTGAGACTCTAATCTGATAGATAGAATGCACAAATAAAACAAAAGTTTTGCTATTTTAGGTAAAAAGTTCTCTAAATTTTTGAAGTGATTTTACCTGTTAATTCTGTCATTGGTCCGCCATTTTGCGGAAGTTACACTGAAACACAAACTCCATGAAACGAAATCACTAGAAAAAAACATGGCACACATCGTGCATATGCGCATTAATGTTAAAACCAATCAGATTATTTGATTCTTTTGCGTACATGAATTATTTGCTTCTGAGCACTTACCATTAAAAGCTAACCACAATAAACAAACCTAGCGGAGATTAGCCTTACTTCATTTTAGCGAAATTTCAGCTCAAACTCGTGACAAATGCATTATGCATACGCTGGTATAAAGCCTTAGAGACACTCATTTTGGTAAATTTGATTTACGGTGTATACTTTTCTGCAGTTTGTGGGAGTTTGGGACATTAAATGTTAAAATTCAAGAAAATATGCCATCTATACGACTTATCAATTAATTTGTATCAGCATTGTATATGATTGTTCAGATGTACATACAGCCTTAAAGCATTGATTTATTTGCAGCATTTAGAGGTGAATCTGTTGTTGATGATAGAGTGCCATGCTCAATATGTAGCAGGAAGTTTATGCCAGAATCACTAGTAAGTCTGATACAGAAACTGGAATATGAAATCTGCTATATTAAGATTTCTTTGATTCTAATGTAACTATATAGTTGCCTGTCATACTCATACGGATTAGAATTCTAAGCTAACATAGTTAGTGGTAGCCATTAGGTAAATCATATCGCTGAAGGCAAAGGGGAGAAAAAGCCCTGTTTGGCAATATTTTGGCTATCCCATGATTTGGGATTTATGTCGAGAGAGGCCAGATTTGTTGCAAGCTATTTATATTTATTTCACCCTATGTAGACAGAGCCTGTGGGAAATATTGGGTGCGGAGCAAATGAGCGGAGGGTGCGGAGCTAACGGTCATTTTTGAATTTAAATTTGGGATATTTTTGAAACTAAGCCATTTTGGGACTTCAAATATACCAAGATATGTGTATTTGACACCAAATATCAATACAATTGTGAAAATAGTAGCGCAATTCATTCTATAGCGACGCAGTGTGTCTTAAACCTTTCCCAGACCTATATATTTTGAAATTGTCCTTTTAATACTGAGTCCCCAGCATTCATAAAAAATGGTGTTCAAGGTACAATATCTATACAAATTATTTTTGCATCTTGGAAGCCAGGCAGTATCTGTGTGATTTTATAAAAATTCGGAAATGTTTTTCAGATATGAGCCCCCTCTAAATATTGGGTGCGGAGGAGCTCCATAAACGTACCTCCGCACCCAATATTTAGAGGGGGCTCATATCTGAAGAACATTTCCAAATTTTTATAAAATCACACAGATACTGCCTGGCTTGCAAGATGCAAAAATAATTTGCATGGGAAGTGTATCTTGAACACCATTTTTTATAAATGCTGGGGACGCAGTATTAAAAGGATAGTCTCAAAATATATAGGTCTGGGAAATGTTTAAGGCATACTGCGTTGCTATAAAATGAATTGCACTACTATTTTCACAATTTTATTGATATTTGGTGTCAAATACACATATCTTGGTATATTTGAAGTCCCAAAACGGCTTAGTTTCAGAAATATCCCAATTTTAAATTCAAAAATGACCGTTAGCTCCGCACCCTCCGCTCATTTGCGCCGCACCCAATATTTCCCACAGGCTCTGTCTGCATAGAGTGTATTTTATATTTGTCATCTTGTACAAGTGAGAAGCATGAGTAAAATCCGGGGTAAAATCATGCTACATTTCAAGTTATACCTAGGAAACATCTGAGACTCAAATGTATTTTTAATTAATCTAATGTACCCATTTACAGTTTCTGACCCAATCCGAAAGGGTTCCATTCCGAGGCCTTACATTCCGAACAGAACCTTTCAGAATTTTTTGTTCCATGATACCTCTATTGACTGTAAGCTGTTTAATGATTACATTGCAATATCATTTTAGGGCAAACATGAACCTATCTGTGCCAAATCAAATGCCAAGAAGAGGAAGGTGTTTGACTCAGCTAAACATAGGGCTGCTGGAACTGATATAAAATTAGCAAAAGACAGACCAAAACCTGGAGCCATACAGGTAAATCATCAGAAGGTAAATGCTTTTATAGTTGCTTTTAGTCCAATCGTAATGGGCATTCTGTTGCTAGGGGAGATCAGAGGTCCTCAAATCAAAGTAGGGGTCTACAAATCATAAGGTATGTGAGTATTATTAAACTCAAATACATAAGGTACTGTATTCGTCTTTGAGTTAGTGCAACTTAAAGAAACGTTAAGCCCATATATTTTTAGGCTGCTATACTTAATGCACACTGCTTACTTAATAATGTTAAGACTCATTTTATTCCAGATATCATACTTAGGAGAACATATGCATTTTTCACTGGGATGAAATCATTAAACTCAAATCATGATCAATTGCATGTCTTTTATAGCTTCAATAATATTAATGGTATAAATGAATCAATAATTTCCCTACTCAATGTCAAGTATATTGGCTTTACAAGTAAAGGATCAAAATAAGTGATAAGATCCCAGAAAATTTCATGCATAGGAGCTTCAAAAACAAGTTGAGAAATTCATGAACTTCTGAGCCCATGAGATTTTCTGATTTGCTGTATGTGAATTGTCCCATGAAATGTGCATGTATATTTCAGCCAGCTGCAGCGCCCAAGTCTAATTGGCGTGAAGAACACGAGGACTTCATCAGAAACATCAGGGCTGCCAGGGGAGCCCAACATGCCATGAAAACAGGGGCTCCCTTACCACCCCCTCCCCCAGCTAAAGTACCCAAAGGTATATTCATTTATCCACAGGTTTATCCTAGGTTTTCCTTGCATATATAGACCAAAAAGTCAGATTTGAATTTAGTGCATTTTCTTCTTAATCTTGGGCACATTTTTGGCTCTGTAGCACAATTTTAAGTTTTGTGATAAGACCGGTTTCCTATGGCCAGGCTCAATTACTGGGGAAAGCCAATAGTTCATGTACATAAATGTACTGTGGAAATAGGTTTGACAAAATTATTGACTCAAAAATAGATTAAAATAGTTGCTTACATGTTTGAAAACAAACAAACTTCTTTTCTAATTTGAAACTAAATTAGAATAGTTTCCTGCATGTCCTACATCTTTGAATTTTAATGCTACAATGTTACAAACTTGTATATACTATTATTGCATCTTTTTAGGAACATTTTAACAAAACAGCCATTTGTACTATTTTCTTCCAGATTATGTACATTGTGACTACTGTGATCGAAACTTTAATGCCACAGCTGCCGAACGACATATTCCATTCTGCCGGGAGAAGTCAGGTAGAGTTCTTAAGAATATGCCAACTGCAGATGCTAAAGCCAGAAGGGAAGCAACCCTAAAGGTTAGTCATGACAAGGATCGGCATATTGCTAAAAATTATACAAAAATCACAAATCAATGAATAGTTAATTGATGTTATGTCATTTTATGGAAGGAAACGTGTATATTAGACCATATAAAATAGATGGCATAATACAAGTTGCCAGCATTATCAGTTATACTATTCTGTAACAAATTGTCACAAATACCAGTGTATAAAATTCACCCGAAAACGTTATTATTTCCAAGGGATTATTTAAGTTTATTATAAATTGCCTGTATAGAAAAGAAAAAATTGACTGAGATTATTTACTTTTTATGCTGATATATCCAGATGGGACTACTAGAGAGTAGAGACCCAAGTTATACAGACAACTGTAATATGTTGTCATGATCTTTCAGTATAAAGCACCCAGGTTGAAGCCAAAAACTATGAGCCCCTCTGGAGGTATGAGTGGTCCAGGAGGGGGTTATGGAGACCCAGGGTCTACTATGCCAGCTAGATCTGCACCCCGGGGGCGTAAGTATACATTAATGATTATTAAGCAGGCCCTGTAGCCAGCTTATGACAAGGGGGTTCACTTTTCAAAAGATTCTTGTGGGTTAATATGAGACAACTTTAGCCCAAAATCACTAGAGAGCTCTGAATGGTGAAAATCTGCATGATTTTGACCAAGGGAAGCACATTTTTGCTGCACAATCTTTGTTATTTTAACATCCATATATATAATACATCCTTAATTGTATTTGAACTTTGTTGTCTTTTTCATTTCTGTTGATACAGGCTGGAATGTTAATTGTCAGTATTATTGAACAAATATGTTAATAAATTGATTTATGATTACAAGTTGGTTTACTGAATGTTATTGTGGTATCACCATAGGGATATTATTAATCTACCTCATGTTGTTATGCTAATTTAGACGCCCAACACAACTGCATATATTTGTCACCACAAGCTTATTTTAAAATTGTGATATGTGATTTGGATAGAGTATTTGTAGTCTTGTAATTAATATTAGGTATAGTTCTAACATGTTTGATATTGAAGCAGTTTTATTGTTACATTGACCTTACTCAAACTGAACATTACATTGTGATTGATTTTAAACAGCACTTATGTGTTAAATGCGGTGTTAAATGTATCAAATATGCTCTGCTCTTTCCGAATTGATAGCCAAACTACTCTCTGACAAGATACCAAAGAGGGGTCTATTTCTCCAAACTCCGTAAAGTTGCGAATCTGTAAAGTTACGATTTCTGAGAATTGAAAAAGTTACAAGAAAGATGTGGAGTTTTCAAATTGTATATCCATATCGTAATTCTTCCGTAAACAGTTATGGACAGGGTCTGAGGGGCCATAAAGTTATGGAAAAAGAAAGCTATGACGTCATGAATAACGTAAACTTACGGAAATCGCACAAAATCCCGTAAATCTATGAATTTTCGAGAAATGCACAATCTCCGTTAGTTTGAGAAAGAACAATTGACTTACGAATCTGTAACTTTACGGATTTTGGAGAAATAGACCCCAGTAACATATGACCTAATTATTGACATAGAATTGTAATCTTGCTGCAATTTCTGATTGAAGAATCATCCAAAACTAAAAGAGTGGAGATGATTTAGCATATTGACACATTTAACAATTTACTTCACAATATGTAACATGTTAAATATGATGTGTGATGCCTAGTTTAACATGTATGCACTGTATGTTCACAGCCTCAGCTAGCTCTAAGTATGGTGGCACAATTCCTAGCAAGAGCGCAACACCAGGTAACACATATAACAAAATATTAGAATATTCAAAAAAGTAGAACACCTTTGGTACCTAAACAGTGTTTCAGTTGGGAGGTGTTCCACTGACAGAGGTTCATTTTACTCAATGTAAATGATTAACATGACCTTGAAATTAGAGGTGTCACACCGACCCAAAGTTGACCTAAATCCTTACCAATTTTGGGTTGGGTCAGAACACTCAGGAAGTTCATAAATTCGGATTAGAAATGTTTTACTGTATGTGATTAATGCAGTAAATCTATGAAGTGGAACACTTCTTGAAGTGGAACAGTTCCATAGAAGAATACTTCAAAATCCTGTTGCCCATAGACTCAATGTAAAATCAAACTACGTAATTGGAACACCCACTAAAATTAACACTATTTTAGAGTACCAACCTCATTCCACTTACATAGGTTTCACTGCAATTTACAATTTATGAATATCTGAAATTGCTTCATGAAATAAAACATAGTACAGGTCTGTCCTTCTTGTAGCCAATCATCCATTCCCCATTTTTTATTAATTTATGGGCTTTTAATCTCTACCTCGTAATAATAAGATTTTGATCATGTTCATTCCAATATTAATTCCATTGACAGGTGGGCGTGGCCCAACTACAGGGGGCCCTAGGCGGGTGACAGCAGCCCTATCTAGTAGTTCTAGTGGGCAGAGTTCACCTGCAGGGTATGATCCCTATGGAAAGGAGCCAGAGAGGTCATATACCACAAATGCAGCAAGAACAAGGGCCATGCAATCCAGCAACAAATACCAGGTACTGTTAATAAATGGAATTTGGTACCCCACATGAATCGGTGGACATATTCATATTTATTTAAATTTTCATAGTCTTGCTTTGAGCTCCTTTACCCCCAATCCCTAATAATGTATACTTATAGTATATACTAAATCTTGTAGGCAAGTAATTATGAGGATGATCCAGATCCTGGTTACAGCAGTGGAAAAGCATTGAGGACGGGCCGCAACCAGCAGACCCTATCAGCAGGCAAGAACCTCCATAGAGGCAAGCAAACACCCAACAGTCTCGAAATTCATGGGTCTGGAGGCTCGCGTGCGGGATCCTCAAGCTACAGGGGACAAGTTGAATCCCCAATAAGGTACAGTAATTGACTTTCCTGTTTGTTATCTACTTAAGTGTGTTCTAGACATATAGAAGGCATATTTAGCTTGTTGTAACAACTCATATGAGAGGCTGGAGTATGTGCTTGTCTTTTATATTTGTGATTTGTTGCCAAATAAAGCATGTAGAAAATAGTAGAACAGCTTAAAGTAGGTGTTTCTGGATCTATCATCCAATGATACTTGGGAAGGTTGTACTTATAGCCTATTTTACAGTATCTTAAAAAACATTCATGTTCATTTTCTGTCAACTTTTCCCTCATATTCATTATCACATTATGATATGATGTCATCGCCAAAGATTATTAACTATCGGATGTCTCCTGGTAAGATGATACATATGGGTACATGTGGTCAGTGGTCAGTTAGTACAACATATGGTATTATATAAATGAGGTCATTACAAACTATTGACCTCAATTTGACCTATCAGAATCAAGTATTTAAAGTGAGGTATTTATAATTATATATAAAAGACAAATATAGTTTGAAATACAGATATGTGGAATAGTATGTTAATTCAGACTCATCCAATTGCCATTCAACTTAAAAGGTTTCTGTTTTCTAAGCTTTATTAGAAGTCTATAGATCCAGACAGAAGTCTTGTATCTAGTCAGGCTTTTGTTTTACGTCATAGGCTGTAGTCAAGGTTACTAGCTTATGATAAAGTATATGCTGACTTTCATGGTAGTTGTTTCTAGGATTGTTATCTGTAGGCATTTTGTAGATTAAGGTTTGCATTTTTGATTTGTTTTTTGCTTATATTTTTTATTTAAGTTTGCTTGCTTTTTTATTTTAGTGATCGTGGGAGGTGAGTAATGACTTTTATAGTATAAATGAATTAAGTTATCGCCGCATTTAACATGTTTAGTTCAATATTTCGTCTCTGCATTGTTGTCTCTGCCTCCCTTCCTGACCACTTTTGTAAAACAGAAAGGGGAACATCGGGGAAGGGGGCACAGATTTAATTTACTTTAACATTGAATTAAAGATAGATTAAGTGTTATATAGTTATTATAGTGTACTGAATTATTTTATGTTAGTGTGGCAGATAAGGCCAACAAGTGGTTACATACTTGTTTGAAAGAAATTTTCGGAAATCTTTCAAAGATCATGTTTTTTACACAACTGTATTCAAACAGAAAAATAATTGTTCAGATGATGTATGTGGACAGAGCCGAGACACAAAAATGCTTATCTGTCACCATGTAACACATCTATATGTAATTTAAGGCATGTTAGGTATTACAGTGCATGGGTTAAAAATTAGATATATTTTTACTACAGAACATCATTGAGCCCGATGTATTCGCCAGAGAACACTCCTTCACCGCCAGCAGTTGGCAGACCCCATTCAGCGAAACATCGCGGTAGAATAATACACGAGCCCCATGTACAAACTGAAGAACATTTACCGTCTATGGGTCGAGTAGGCAGTGCTGCTAAATTCTGTCATGAATGTGGAACTAAGTTTCCAGTACCAACAGCTAAGTTCTGCTGTGAGTGTGGCGTGAAGAGGGTGAAGATTTCCCAATAGAGAATTATATTGAACAAAACCCATTTTTCAAGTACCATATTTGCTGAATTTAGTGCCCTGTTCTGTCATAAACACTGATGCCTCATCGTTCAAAGGTTTTGTGAGACCTCTTCTATCACAGGAAGGTCAGGAATTTTTGAAGACTTGAAATGCATACTCCCTACCCACATGGAGGGGTCTCACGCAATTTTTTAAATGGAAAATATTAGTATCATACCATTTCCACCCTCTGTAGGTTTAATTAGGTGTGGGCACTAATGCCTGGCACTAATTTACCAAATATGGTATATAGTATATCTATAACATACCTTACACATGACATTGAATAGGACACACATATTACGCAGGTTTTAAGGGCTTGTGACATCCGGGTGTGCCTGGGTGGGAGATCATATTTCAATTAATACAATATTGACCTTGACATTTTAAAGAAAGTACAGGGTGACACAAAAATGCCACCCTCCAATTTTGGAATAACTCTCTCAATAACTATCTACAAGTGCAACAATCTTTCATAATGAACGCTCTATCAAAACAAACAAAGTCATGAAGATTCGCCAATTATTGATTCCAAATGGAATGGAAGATGGCTTTTTGTGTCACCCTGTATATGACCATCACATAAATGACATGATAAATCTGTATGTGTCATATGAAGAACATAACTGTACTGTAATTGTCAAAATGGAAGGTTTTCATTGACTGTGGAATCTGTAGATACATTTATCTTATTATAGCCTCAATATATTTGCCAAATGCTAAAGATGTACCTTTAAACTCTTGTACAGGGTAATACAAAAATGCGACCCTCTACTTTTGGAATAACTATAAATTGACCTTTTGCGATCAGAATTCAGGAATTTTGTTTATGGATACTGTTGTCACGTATTTCGTCTTATTGGTATGACGTCATATAGAAATGATATTAGACATGATGGAATCACGAAATGACAGACACGTGGCAGTTTTGAGCTAAAAATATTGTCGTTTCTTATATGAAAACCATGGGTCAGATATTTAACAGGTATGCCAATTTGACTAGATCATGAGTATATCTATATATGTGCGAAGTTTGGGTGAAATTCATACTAAACATCGATGCCTTTAAGCGCCCCCCGTTTTTGTCAAAATCGGGGGGCGCTTAACTGCTATCTAAATCATGTCAGTAAGACCTTAGACTTGGTATGTGCTTAGAATGAATGTTGATCTAGTCAAATCGAACGCTTTCGTGAAAAATAAATCAATAAAGCACGAAATATAGAAGATAATCTCTCAAAATCAAGCATCTAAAGCTGGGTGACCTAATTGTGACGTCACTAAAAGATAGAATCCATTCGGTGATCGCAAATCATCAATTATGATGGCATCTTTTCTTGTGAGAATTAAGTGCTTATTGCATGAAACAATGGTGTACTTATAAACCTCAATGACAAAAATTTCCAATTCAGAAAATTACATTTTTGAATGTTCTGAACAAGTTTACAAAATAGCGTACTAGTATAGAAATGCTATTGCTGTAATTTAGACATTGATGCTTTTTTAGAAAATCCTGTTTCATTCATGGAGCACTCTATTCAAACTCAAAAATTCAAAATGATTTGATCAAAATTTATTTTAAAAGTTATTCCATGGTTGCATTTTTGTGTCACTCTGTATGAGAAATTCTGAAAATTCAGGATTTAATTTTTATAAATGGATTGAAATACTGTATATTCATTCATAAGAGGATGATAAAAATGTGCCATATAGAGATCTAAGTTACCATTTGGGTATACAAGTTCTATTTATTTGTTTTAAACACTATTACAAGTACTGTTATGGGTATTGTATGTTTAAGCTGCTTTGAAACCACATTTACTCAAAGCAGTAAAGCCTATCACTGATATTAAAAAAATGAATCCAATAGCAATTTGCTGTGATGCAAAATCCAACCTATGATATTATACAAAAAAGTAGGCATGTTGATAGATATATTGTAATTTGTTTATACTTGCATGTTTACATCTTAAAAAGCTAAAATGCAAAGAATGGACAGACAGTTATTATTTTATGGCCTTTTATACCAATAAACAAATGAACAGTTCCATATATCTACTATTATATTTATTCAAAGGTGCAATATGCAATTATTACATTTACTGTACATGTAATATAATAATGATCAATCATTCATCAGTTCAAGAGAGAATTAAATGCCTTATATTATTCATGAAGTTTCAGGGGGTACATATGGTCAATAGGGAATGGAATCTGATTTTTATAGACACCACCATGAGTGGTAACATATTGTTACAGCCACCTACTTTTTGTGACTGGTGTCTGTAACAATTGTTACACTTTTGTAATTGTAACCAGGCTGTGACATTTTGCTGTAATGTCTTATTTAAAACAACATTTTCACCAGCTGACAGTCTTTGACATTTCACTGCTGTTTCAGGCAGTCAAATATGCTTAACGCTAAATTCTACACACGGTCAGCTGTAAGATAGTTTTAGTATGTCTGCTAAACATTTTTAGGAACCCAACATAAAACTTTATACTTTCACATCATCAGGTGGGAGGGTTGGTGTTGTTACAGATTACAAAATGTATAATGTGTAGAATTAAGTGGAATTTTTTGAGATGTCCTTAATAGATATTTTATTGATAACGTGTTTATCATAAAATCTTGAACCTCGACTGAGAAAATATTTTTTGTAAATAGTGAATTCATGTATAAGGCAATGAAAGTGTAATATACAGTGGTACAGATATGTGTCATATATCTAGGGAAAATTGATGTGGATATAAAAATCTGTTGGGATCAATGTATATAAAATACTGGCCAGATTAAAAAGTACTATGCAGTAGTGTAAGGTTGCTTGCATGCATACTCACATAATTGTATGATATTGATATCAAACAACAAATATTTTAACATACCTAAAGTGATTTATTGGAATTAATGCAATTATTAGGCAGTACTGAACTGAATATTTAATGGCCCAAGCACAAGACAGTGATGTCTCAAAACACTTCAAAAAATTGTTTATTCCCGATCATAGTTAGCATGATATTCATAGGATAACATGTGAAAATAAAAACGGTATTTTTGTAATCAGTGGTAAAATATGATATTTTTGACAAATTTTCACTTAACCATAGCATACGGTTTTTTAGCCATGACATACGGCGCCGTATGCGATGGTTTATGGATTTTTGCTACTTCAGACTCTCACTCGTGCAGATATCATATCCATTCGTGGATAAAAATCATATCACTCATAAATCATAGGATATCCTCTATATATTTTTGAATAATTTGTAAGAAATTTTCAATCTGAGTCTTGGGCTGCCCTAGAGTATCCACTGCCTGATAAATATGTATGAAATAATGATATCTCTACTTGAGGTATGTTAAAGAGAGACTATTGCACTATCATAGTCACTGTGTCTTCAATAACTTGCAAACAGGCATTCTCCTACAATTTGGTATCTGGGCCAGCAATTGATGCATTCTGCCTGTGATAGGGTAATAACCTCATATTATATTATATATACTAAGTAATTATTAGTGCTAAGTTGTTATTATAGTGCTAAATACTTTTCTTTGTTATTTATCTTCCATAGATAAAATTTATTTTCATTTTTATACACTCAGAGAGAGATTGATTATTGATAGAGTTAGGCTGTAAGGTGCAAGTTTTTTGTTGAATATGATGTCTTACATGACATTTACAAAAACATCATCTTTTTGTTTTAAACATAGTATGGTGCTTGATTAGGTTTCTGAAAATTACTTTATTGTTCAGCTAAAATAAGTTCTTTGCGTGACCTTGCTGTTACAATTTTTTTATATTCACGCAAGCACCTTGGAAATTCTGTTTTATTCAGGGGTTGGAAACGCTTGGCGGATTTTTGTTTGAAAAGCATGCACATGTAGGCGTAGTTTATTTGGTAGTACATGTACATGTATGTGAACTTTTTGTAGAGTTTTCTTACCTGGCAATAAGATCATCATGTTTCCAGTTCATCAGGGAAACATTCCATTGAATGAAACATTCCATTGTAATTGACTGCCATCCATCTTATTTTTCTAGATTTTGGGGTTAACAAAAGAAATGTTCTGATTTTGAGTTTTGGGTGTCAATTTGTAATTGTTGAATGTTTCCCCGATGTATCAGGAGCATATTGCTGACAGACGATAAAATAAAGCTTCACCTATCTGATTTTTGGAGTAATATGGCGATTATTGTAATGTATTTCCTGTGCATGTGACAAAAATACTCCATGCGTTTCCACCTCCTGTTACTGGTCCCAAAAGAAATGTGTCTGATATCATATTTCATATTCTAATTCTTACATTGCTTATATTACTAGATAGAATGTTGGGAGTTAAATGTGAATCACTTGTTATAATGTTAAAAGCACCAAAAATTAATATTATATAATAAAGTTGCATGGAATAAAATATATTTTAAGTCTAGGATTCTGTTAGTTCGTCAGTTAAATCATCTCCATTAAAGCAGATATGAAATGGTATTTTCAACCTCAAGGAAACACTAGACTTTTTTGATAAATGTATTTGGACATGTTTTCTCATCAGTATTGTGAAAATTATTTCACTCTAACGATCGTTATAGCTGCTTAATAAGCAATATTCGAATAGGTTGTGATGTTATTGGCCCCCACGTGATCCCTCACTGGTCCCCACGTGGCCCGTTTTGGTCCATTAAATCATGACACCATAATGCCAAGATGTTTTATCATTTGTTTACACAACAATCATATGGTTCCGGTGATGTCGTGATTAGGAACCAATAAACCAAAACTATTATTATGTATGACGTTACTAATCACGTGGGGGTCAATCTGATTGATCAGTTAATTTTATTACATTATTTATGACCATTAACAGTTATCTAACATTTCTTTTATAATGGCTATCGCAAGAACTCAACGTTGGGCTTATAATGAAGAAACCCGCATTTTTGTAGCTGCAAGTTGAGAAAACCTATTTCATTTGTCCTTTAAAGGAAAATCTGCCTTCGATTCTGTAGCTACATGTACAGGGTGGTCCAAAATATTGGAAAAAACTTTTGAGATTTCTCCCCAATACACCATTTTTATTTCAGTCTTGCCTTTTCGATGCTTTAACCCTTAACCTTTTACACCTCATAATCAATAATACCTCATATTTCGATGACAGCCTGTATCTTTACTGCTACATTGTTCATCACATTTGATAATAATTCTGGTGGAATGTTTTGGATTTATCTTTGGATGTTGCCCTTAAGTTGTTCTTGGTCTTTTTGCTTGGAATGGGCATTAAAACACTCCTTTAAATAACCACAGAGAAAGATGTTTGGTGATGGTGATGGCAGAACAAACACAGAGAATCAGGTCAAGTATCGGCAAATGCTTCAGGAGTTACCTTCCAGAGTTACGCAGGCTAGCCTGGAGACCAAATGATATCCAAATGAAAACACAGTGGTGTCAAATTGATTGAGCTCCTCTACACACAACAAATGCTACAAAAGAATCCAAACCGATGCAGTTTCTTGAAACGTCTGACCTCTCTGTATATAGGGGCTATAAGACATTGTGAGAGCCTCCCTTTTCACCAGATTTGATGGCCCATACTTTTTCTCTGGGGCTATTTGAAGGACCATTTGTATGCTAAACCCAAGTTAAGAGACCTAGAACAACTTAAGACCAGCATCCAAACAGAAATCAAAACATTCCACCAGAAATATCAAATGTGATGAAAAATGTAGTAGTAAGAATGCAGACTGTCATTGAAATATGAGGTTACATTGATTATATGGTGTAAAAGGTAAAGGGGTTAAAGTATCAAAAAGGCAAAACTGAATTAAAAACTGTATACAGGGGGAAAAACTTACATGTTTTGACTACAAGACCATGCAAAAAATATCTAAAAATATTGATTGGTTTGTCTATGCTGTTAATATACTTTTGGGTACATTGTTTGAGACACCCTATGCACTGTACATGACTTCATGTTTAGCTATTTCAGCTATCGGGCCATCTTTGACTTCACATAGAAAATTTCTCTTGATAGCGATATTCTCTCTTCCAAAATAAAATTAAAGTATTTTGAATAACCACTTTGATTGAAAACATTCTAGCTACAATGAATGAATGAATCCGCCAATATATCCTAGATTCTTTGGTGTAGCAGCTTTATTTGAAATTCAGTCTTTTGTGTTTAAATGTATCATATTCCACTTTTGCTATAGGTTTTTGCATACATGTATACTGGAATGATGTCAGTAGTTTAAAATTTAGGAAAATGAATAGGCATAATATTGCAATTCAAAACCAATAAGGCTGCCATTTAGAAAGTTATCATAATGAGTAAAATATCAAAATTCAGAATTGTTCAGTATAATGCATATTTCTGTCTGAAAAAATGATATTCCATACACGGACACAAGATATCTCAGCTTATACATCAGATTGATTCAGTACTGTGCATATTCATGACAAATTTGAACCAAAGGTGGGTGTAACCATAGTTACAGTGTTTGTAGCTCCTATAGCAATCACAAGATTTGTGAAGATGGTGGACAACTAAGGTAAGTTTTTGCTCTCTCCTGTCTTGGTTAGTTTGCTAATTGGTAATAAATATCACAAAATATAATAATTAATAGTCTTAATGATGTTTTTGAAATTTAGATTGGAAGTCAGATTACTTTGTTTAAAAATATATTTCAGGTTTTTTATAAAAAAGGTTTATGCAACATATCAGATCAAAGAAGGTAGTAGAACTCAAGGAAAAATATATTTATGTTAATTTTTCAATTTTTTATGGAAAGTAATAATGATATTTTTCTAAAAAGTGTAGGTTGGCTGATCTGTATTGATTCAACAAATACAAGTTTGAGTAGCTGTAAGCAGCTGAGAGTAAGTAAAGGTGAGCAAACTATTGTAAAGTTATATGAAAAATTTATGCAAAACATAATCACCAAGTAATAAATGGAAACATGCATTCAATCATTTGCATTCTTGTTTGACTATTATTTATTCCAAGTAAACACCTGTCCATAAAATGATTAACTACATGTATATATATATTTATCCCATATTTCGTAGTGTTATAGGTAAATAACATGCGGGTATATAACCGATATCTGAGCTAAGCGGGTGATATATACAGGGTGGGCCAAAAAAAATGCCACTTTTTTTCAAAATGCTATAACTTTTTTATTTAATTTTTGATAGAAAATTATAATTTGCATACCAAATATGTCACCAGCGTCTCTCTTAACCTTCTGCACTCTGACTTATTTCAGCAAATATATCCCACGCATCTGACTTATTTTTCAAAAATGATATGCCTGGACTAAATAATTAATATCTCGATAACTACTGAATGAATCTGGATAAAATTTTCACAAAGGGAAGATACACTAGCGTGGCTCATGAGAAAAATGTTCTCATGAATTTTTTTCGTACATAAACACGACTGGGCATAAATATACCATGAATACTCCTCCGGAATCCGCCGTTTCACCCCTCGGGAGATTCAACGTCTGGTCAGAATCCAAAACTGAATTTGCAGCGATCGAATGTTCATCTTTTCAGTTCAGAAAATATTCTAGTTTCTATTTTCGATGACCATTATCGGCTTCCAAGAGCCTAAAGAGCTCGAAAATCGCAATCCATTTCCTCCACATTTTCGTTGTGATCGTATTTTGCCGTCATTTTGTACGATTTGTTCACTAAAAACGACTTAAACACTGTTTAAATTGTTGAATTAAGAAATATTTTTCGAAACATCGCCATCTCTAGGTCAACAGGAAGTCACCTACTAAGGACTGAATAAATCGGGCAATCTAATTGGATCATAAGAACGGCGGGAAAAAGTAAAGTTTTCAAAAGTTAGATTTGTGTCGTCCGGATCCGCCGGTGGATTCTGGCGGTAGTTTTGAATGGGCGGATGCGGTCGCCGGTGGTCTGCTAAAGGTTAAACATGTGGTGTGTCATGAGAAATAGGCATAATTTGCAAAATGTTCCTGAACTGATACGGTCTGATGATCGCCAAGCTAATAGCCCTGATGCGAACACTAGTGAGTATAGGGTATGGAAAGGTCTCCAGTAGATTGTATGAAGGCACCCAATCTAGAAAATTGCCCAACTAAAGCTGACAATTAAGACAGGTTGAAAGAAACTTAGCTAACACTTCACGGATACTGATTTATCAGCAAGGCAACTAAGACTAAAATCTATCATCAAAGAGGGTGGCGGACCAATTGAACTCCTCTTTTAGATCAAATATAATTCAAGTTGAAGGGCTTGTTACATTATATTATTACTAAGAACCCCTGGCACTATACAACTTCAAAATTTGGGGTATATAGGTTGGAAAATAAAAAAGTTATAGTGTCTTGAAAAAAAGTGGCGTTTTTTTTGGCCCACCCTGTATATCTCCCGATGAGGTGAGCGGGAGATATATATATCACGGGCTCATCAGCAATCCCCGGGAATTTCTTTCTGTGCTTTTTTGAATTCCCGGGATATAATCTGGCTCTATTTGATAAATATTAATTTTGTACACTGTCAAATGTTAAAAGCTGTTGAATTTTAAAAAACAAAAATTGTTGAGGACTTTAAATTGAGATAAAATATTCATGTTTTGATTGTAATTATCGTTTGTAATTATTACATTAGGGTTTCCTAACATTCAATGCATATTTAATTCTCATAATCTACCTAAATCAGTTATTGAATTCTCGATTTTTGATACAGGGTACATCCCTCGGTAAATACAATATATCAACCCTTGGTCCCTGCAGTCCCTTGGGTAGATATATTGTATTTCCCTCAGATATACCCTGTATCAAAAACCTCCCATCAAATAACCTCTTTATATTCATGGTTGTACTTGCCATACTGATCCATTGCTTAGATACAGCAAATCACTTAATACGATGACCAAAGATATTAACATGACCAAGCATCAATGACAGTATGGTTGCATAACAGGATTATGAAATGTCTCTGAAATGAAGCAGATCTAATTGGGATTATTGACTGAATGATATAAAATAATAATGTTTTGATCATAACAGAGTGTATTCACAAATGTGTTGTTCCACAAAGTAAACATAAAGATGATATTTGTTAATCTACGTAAGCTATTTATTTGAAGATATCTGTACTAAAGGAACATAAATAGGCATATTCATGTCATGTGTCAGATAACTCCATTTGTTTTTCATTTAAGGTTTAGCTGTGGCGGTAGTATTCTTTCCCTTCTTGTTTTTATTCTTGTTTTTATTTTTGTTCTTGACCTGACAGTTATCCTCCACTCTATATTTCTCCACACAATCTTCCGTCAAACAGGATTCCCGGCAGTCATCTGCATTGCATTTTTTCTTCAACCTCCTCAAAACTACTTTTGGATCTTCAGGTTCACCTCTCTGGAATAATGAGATATGTATAAGATATTGCATTAACTAGTAATGGGTACCTGTACAACAATGTCCATTCTTAATCAGTTCAAAACAGTTATTGTGGACTTACAGCTTATTAAAACTGACTACATGTACATGTATATGTCCCACTGTGTATTACTGAATGTTTGAATGTTATATTTAAGGAATAAATAGTACCCCAGACAGGCTGAATGTTGCAGTCATGTTTTTACTCTATATTTGCAATAGAACAACCATTCTCATTATTTTCATGTTTTATTTGAGACAATTTCCAACATGGAAAAAAAATATTTTAACAAAATTCCTAAATTTTGGCGGCCTAAAGTCTTTCCAGATGTATTTGATGCCATATTAATTATTGCTGATTATTGTTATTCATTTTGTCATATTCACTAATATTATTGCAGTGCATTAGGCCAATGAAAAACATGTCACTCTGAGTCACGTTTCCTCTGATAACGCACCTTTTTTTGCCACCGTCACTCAGCATGCAACCCTGTGGCACGTAAATTGTACCATTTGAATATGTCAGGTTTCCCTGACAATTTCATGAAAGAATTTGACACAGCTATATAAACACCTCTGAAGGATCTAATGCCGGGAATACTTGAAGTTGGAGAATTGTAACGTTTGAATTCATTTTGGACAGTATTGAACATTTTGATTGGGTTGAACTCGTGTCCGTTGACAAGAAGATAGACCTCCTCTATGTGCTACTTGGGTGGGCTTAATCTAGGGAACGCTTCACAAAACAAGACCCAGAGCAACAAGTTTTTTATTCGCCTAATGCACTGTAATAATATTGAATATGACTAAAGTGAATAACAATAATCAGCCATAATTGTAAATATGGCAACAAATATATCTGGAAAGATTTTAAACGGCCGAAAATTCAATAGCCAGACAATATTTGAAATGACGTTAAAAGATCAATTGTTCAAGCAAAAACCTGTATTTTTTGACAGTGGAGTGTTTTTGAAAAAAGCCTGTCAAAATCATAAAATTGGAAATTTTGATAAAATATTTATTTTCCATGTTGGAAATTGTCTCTAGAATAAATCTTGAAAATTTCAAAAAGAATGGATGTGTTTTCTTAAACATTATAGAGAAAAGAATATATATCTATCTCAAATTATATTGTTACCATTCAAAAGATGACCATTAAATTGACAATGTGTAAAATTTTCAGATTTTTTTGATGTTCATAATAACATACCCTTTTTGTAGGATCCCTGAACTGGAATTTGCATCCACAACATTGCTTAGCTGGAGTACCATTAAACATCTTCATACAGGGCTCACTAGTCATGCAAGACTTAACCTTTTTGGCAATGGCTATAAGGAATAATACCAGTGAGTATAAAACAATGAACATTACATTACAAATATATTAATATTAGAGAAAAGTTAGATTTAGTCATGGATTTCATGATGTTATAGCACCAAAAATAGTCTTATAAATAATAACTTCATGAACTTCTCTCATTTGTCCATTATGTTAATTGCCTAGTTCATGTGTCACTCATAACTCACTTGCTTTGGTAATATGCCCCATGAACAATATGACTTTTGATTTTTTGTGGCGTATCAAAAATAAGAATGGTCTGTCCACCCTTAAGGTCACAGGTCCACCTCCAATACTTATTGCTTGGGCTAAGACCGTCACTGCAGCTGCTTCTGTCCCTGAAAGCATTAAAATAGATACGAGTAAGATTGAAACTTGCTTTTGTGATATGTCCAGTAAACAAGATGGTCCTTGACAACTCCAGGGGAATGAACAATAAGAATGATCAGTAAATTCTGATAGCCCCCCCATTTTAATTATTATTGAAGTCGTTGTGAATGTTGTGATATTTCAGTAGATTTGAAAAGTTTATCTCTACAAACATTTCACTTTTTGGACCACCCATACATAGTTAATGTTATTGTTGCTGGTTTTAAGGTTTTACAAATGTTAATCTGTTTTCACTAAGCTAGTATTTTACATAAAGGTATCACGGAACAAAAGAAAATCGGAACAGTTCGGAACATTTGGTTTCGGAACGGAACAATTTCAGAATGGTTTGGAACAGAGTGACTGCATCTATTACATTAAAATAAGTTCTTCAAAACTCTTCAATGAGAAATGGTGAAAATATGAACTTCTTTCAGTGCAAAAAATGTTGTTTTGTGGTGATTTTAGGACCAAAAGCTGTGAAAGGGTAAGATTTTCTTGTTTCAGAACCGAATCGAAATGTTGAATTTTTGTTCTGTGTTCCGTTCCGAGAGCCTAATTCCTTGGATCGGAACGAAATAGGGTATTGTGACACTTCTAATTTTACAAGCCCTTGTTAATTTGAAAAACTCTTCTTAAAAAGAATTCTTATTGATTACAATTAATGGTTCAATGAATCTTATGTTACTTTACCTTCTTCATTAACTTCAACAAATGTCTGGTGGATGACTTTGTTAAAAAACAGACCACATGTGTCCGAATTATGACAGATTCTAGAGAAATTAGCTACAAAAGAAAACACATCCACCATCCCAAGATTTCTCAGATGTCCTACCAACTCAGATCTCCATTTAATCAGCAATTTTGGGAAGTACAGATTCACCTCGCGATTGTCTTCTGTAAAGTTATGGCAGTCAATTTCTTTTTGTATAGATGCTAACTTGGTTGCGTTAAGTTTCTCCTCAAGGTCTTTTAGTGTTTTGAGTCCGTCCCCACTGTTACTCACTGGAAGCATTATGATCATACTGACTTCATCTCCTTTGTAGGGTAGTTCAAGAATATGGGCATCAAGGTCTTTATCTTTAATATATACATGTCTTTGGCTCTCATTAAAGCTTTGCATCATCATATTCACAGTAATTCTCTTACCAGGAGAGTAAAATGGAGCAGGCTTTGTGTTTTTGGTATCAAATGTATGTTTCCAGTCAGCTTTGAAGTATATGGCATTGACAAGAATTAGAATAGTTAAAGAGTTTACATCAACTGAACTTAGGACATCTTTCAGCTTGCCTTCTGTCTTATTTGATATCCATTCATTTATTTCTTTAAGAGCCACACTTGCTTGGTGAGCATAATCATATTCTTTAATCTGAGCACTGTAGTAGTTAATAACATCATCCAAATATGTTTGGTCAATTTTAAATTTAGAATTTGGGAAAAGATTGTTTGCAGATTTAAGGACGTACTGTGTGTTTCTTCCATTTATATCATTTAATAACTGTCTAAATAAACAATGGTAATTTTGACCACTCTTAAATTTCAAGGTGTTTTCCATTTGTCTAGCTGTATTTCCTCCAGTTCCCAGTTGAGCCATAGCCAAGGCTGTAGAGATGCTGAATGGACTAAAGAAAATATTCTCATCAGTTGCGTTATTGTTTAACATTTCCTTTAGCAAGTCCATAGCAAAACTATTGATTGAATGTTCCAAACTCTTGATTGGATACTGATGTTCATCATCACATTGCCCAGAAACGTGATATATTTGCAGGCAGAGGATACCTATAACCAATATAAATACCTCCTTCATTCTCTAAATCTTGAATTGTTGTGTCAGTGGAAATTGATGTACGCAGTTCAGTTGATTGTAGGAGCTAGTGATATACTTTGTTTAGCTCTAAACCCTAATGAAGCTTCAAATTATGTATGGCTTATTCAAGTTATTTAATGATTTGTTTGCTAATATAATATCATTGAGATTCATAGCTATATCCTTTTAACGTTAGCTATGCCATGATGCCTTTTTGATATTTATTCTTGATTTTTCTGAATTGTTATTTGGTCACTCATTAAAATTATGTAAGTATAATTAAAGTTATTTTGTTGTACTTAGTTATATGATTATTTCTTGGTGATTTCTTGTTGATTTAAATAGAATATAGTGTAAGAATATATACATTATGTATGTTATTTAAATTGTGGTATTTGCCTCGAATATTAAATATGCATGTTATATGTGTTTTTGTTTAACCAGACAATTAATTTATTCTATACAACAGATATCAATTTAATTGTGCCATGTAAGCATATAACGAGGATAGAAGCGGCACTGTTATATGTCTAATCGTAAGTTAAGTTAATACCCAAGTTTTGTCAAAACCCAAGCTCCATTTGGTGCCTCATCCATTATCAATTCTGTCAAATAATTCAATGATATGATAATCTAAGTGCAGCTGACAAAGTGACAAGCTGGAAGGATTGGTATCGATATGGAGAACTGAATTCAACAATGTTTTTCTCTTAAACCAATCATTGAAAACATTCTGTAAAAAAACACTGTATTTTATGTAATGTGGACTGATTGACAACAATCTAATGCGGAAATTATTTAGAAATATTTTATATAACTGTTTTTGTTAACATTTTTTGTTTTTTTTAGTGCAATTGTTTTTGCTCTTTTCTACCAATTCTTGAGAATGAAATAAAATGTCTTTCTGAACAAAATAGCATACACAGTGGCGTAGCGTGGGTATTTTATGAGTGTACGCCACAAGTGAGCGAATCGAACGAGCTTTGAAAAAATTAGATTGTTTTTGAAGCGTTCGGGGCGTTTTAAAATATGAAATTCCGACTACGAAAAATAATATGGATTAATAAAATGTTAGGCCATTACTTCAGAATATTAAACGTGGGTCATTTCAATATTAAAAATTCACTTTTCTCTAAATGAGAGTACGCTATGGCGTTTTATGCGTATATGACGCTACGACACTGATATACAACATGTTTTTAGACCTGTCAATATTATAGTCATACAAAGGAATTTTTGGTTGATTTTAAAAAAGTATTCAAAAAATTAAAACAAAATTCCCCCAAAATTTCAACCAAAATTTCCTTTGTACAATTACAATATTGAGAGACCTAAACATGTTGTGTTTATGTCATTTTGTTCCAATGAGGTTCGGAAAGATGTTTCATTTCACTTTGGAAACGTGATACCAAGAACAAAACAGTGTTTGATGTTTTTTCTAAAGCAATATACTGTAGATGAAAGTAAATATTTATTTTTTAAATTATATTGTTACCATTCAAAAGATGACCATTAAATTGATGATGTGTTAAATTTTTAGATTTTTTTATGACTGGTTTAAGAAAAACCTGTGTTCAAAAAGTTCTCCATATGGATACTATACCACACCTTTCCAAATTCAAAGTCTTTCGTTTTAAAGGTAAGTTTTTGTGAACGGTGTTCAGTGGTTGGTGTTCGGCATTTGGTTGTTGATGGTTGGCATCTTTAACAAATGGCAGGTAGTGACATTCTGCATGTTAATGGCTTGCTTTATAATTAAAAAAAATCAGTCACTGATATTTTTTGTAGTTCCAATATAAAATAGAGGTCAAATTATTAAACTATTCAATGAAGAAAAATAGAAAAATTCGATCATTCAGTTTTGAATGTAATACACCCTCTTAATCCTCTCCCTAAAATATTTTCTAACATTATGCAAGTGGTGATTAAATGGTCAATGTTAACTTAGTGTGTAGGAAAATAATGTTAGAAGATTTAAGGTTTATTATGGTTCCATCTATTTATCATTCAATAGCTTAAATTGCATTTTTACCTGGAAACACGAAATAATGTGAACAATAAAGTGGATGTCATTTTATATTTTTAAAAATTCATGACATAACAAAAGTTTACAATCAAGCAAAATGTGAGTGTTTGCAATAACAATCAATACATTAAGGCCATTTCTGGATGCATTACTGGGTAGGTTATAATTCATTCAATTTATTTAAATTATGTTTTTGGTCTAAAAAACTTTAAATTTTTAAAAAGTGAGATATCACAAATTTTTATGTCCTAAAGCTGAACACTTGTAAAATAATTAGCCATTAGCTAAAGCATGGAACCATCTTTTGACACATACAGTCTATATATTATTAAAACCTCAAATATACTATTCTATAACTCAATCTTTTCTGGACGGACAATGTGAAAAACATCAGATATTCATAAACTTTTTAAAAACTGGTAGAATAAGTGTAATTATCTAGATACAAGTAGTGTTTAGCAGAAAAACTTTCTTCACACATGGACAGTTTTTCACTGATTTCTTTAATCTTTTCAAGATATATTTTGACATGGAATGAATCTTATAATAAAATGTAAATAAAGAAAGCATAAAAAAGTCTGCAATAATGAAGATAGGAGGATACTGAATTGCTACACACTCTGGCATGTCTGGTGCAACAAAAGGTAGAGGCATCTCTTAGAGATTATAGATGCAGTCCAAAGCTACAGCCTCTTGTTGGTTCAAGCTGTTGACAACATTGCCATACCCAATTTACAGCAACCAATTTACCCTGACTGTCATATTTCTCCATTCTCTCTTTCCCTTTAGGATGACACCTACATGCCTTTTTATGATTGTCCTTTTCATTGTAGAGTTTATGACACCTTAGACATGACTTCATATTCAAGCTTTGTAACTGGCTATTTTGTTTTATATGCGGTCTCCTTGGAGATTTAATATTATTTGGGTTAAACTCTGATGAAAGTAGGATGGGAAGCCGTTCATTTCCTTCATAAAGTGGCTGTCCTTTTTTATCAACTTGGGATTCGTGGAGAGCTATGGTCTCATTTGGCCCAAGTGATTGAGATGAGCTAGATAGGTTGGTTAAAAATCTCAACGATTTACTAGGATTTAGTGTCGCCACAGGTTTATCCATAGACTTCAACTGCAGGCGATAGTTTGTATTGTTGTACATAGCTTTCTGTAGAGTGTCTTCCAAGTTCTCTATTTTTGTGCGCAGAGCTCCGATGAGGCTCTCATAACGTATTAACTTTGCCTTTGTTTTCTTGGATAGTGGATGTTTTGGTTGGTCATGGTTACTCTCCTCAGTAGAGGGAGGAATAATAAGGTTTTGTGCTACTGGGGCCACCCAGAATTCCCAGTCAGCCTTCTTAGACAGAACAAACTCAATCTGAAACACATTTGAATTAATATGATATACATCTATTATCTATACAACACCCCGGAATAGCCTGACAATGGTAAAGTCAGATACCGTTGTCACAAATGGCGGACATAACCGTCGCTTCAAATAGATTTTCATGAACTGTAAGTTTAATAGAGGACCTAGACTAAATTCCTTTGGAACAACAATAAATCAAAGTGTCTTAATACTCATTGTACAGTTAATAATGTTCTACCATCGAAATAAAGTCCATAATTTAACTGATCAAAATGAGATACATGTAGGGAACAACGGACACTGTAATTACCATATGCCGTTGGCTTTCTAAATTACTCATATTCAGATTCCGTTGTCATTGGCAATATTGAAGACACCATATTGTGGCGATTCAGGACCCAATTTGATCGAAAATGGGATGGCATATGATACATTATCACAAGAGCTTAATGCATGCACAGAATTAGCGACGATAAAATCCCATGAAATGAGGACCAAGTGATTAAACAGTTGAAGCGACGGTTATGCCCGCCATTTGTGACAATGAAATCTGACTTTACCGTAGTCAGGCTATTCCGGTGTGTACAAGTAGACTTTGGGGCTGATCTTGAAAGCATCATTAAAATCCCTGTATTTCAATTATCTTTCATGATGTTAACATGACAACTAACTTTATTATCAATGATTTCAAAGCCACGGTCACTTGAATGCAGCTTATTTAACTTTTCGCAGTAGTCCAGCGGCAAAATGGAGGAACATTAGGTATATTATTTTAACATAATAAGACACCTGGATTTGTCTGTCTTCAGGAAAGAAGTTGAGAGCATGACCAAATGTACCTCTATTTTCGTTGCTGGACTGCGGTGAAAAGTGAGTCACCATCATGTGCCTGTGGCTTGAAATCCTTGATCACCATGATTAAGTACAGATAATAACAGGTATGTCTTATGAGATTATACTATTTTTGGGGAAAAGTTCTCTGTATATTGAATTGATTTTATTGGTTTCACATTGCAGTAAGCTTATAAACTTTTTTTTTTATTATTGTCTTAACATAAAAAACAAACTGTTGAGTGAGAGAATGATACGGGAATTCATCAATGTAACAATAAAATAAAGAATGTCATAAAATAATGTAATGAAATGTATGTGTTGTTTTATGGTTGGTTATTTTACAATTGTTCACCTTTTCTTGTAGTCCATTAACCTGTGAAGCAATTTGTAGTAATCTGTTGTCTTGCTCCATGTAGCGTTGCTCTAAGCGGTTGAAGTAGTCTGAAAACTTGACTAGGTCTGCCTCTATGGTTTTCTTTGTTGTATTTAATACAGTCAACATCACCTGGAAGATGTAAATATATATCATCCAGATCAAGATTTTTATGGGATACCTATATGGGTTGTAGGTAAACTATTTTTCTATTTATTTTTTGAAAAAGTTGCCATCTTTATGATGGATCATGGTAAAAATCATGTGCTCACTGTAATTGTTATTTTGGGAATGTTCATCGTATTGTTGCCATCTTTCTTTATGCAAACCAATAGAAATCACACTATAACTCACTTTTCTAATATTTTAGGTTCTATAGACATAAAAAACATTTGAAACTTACACTAATAAACATTAGTTCTAATAGTTTAGGTTCTTTCTTTTTGAAAACCATTTGCACTCTAAAAAAATCATATTTCACGTTCGATGGTTTTGTAAAAAACAAATTGAAATGTTTATACATTATCACACACTTAATCTTATATTTCAAGTTCTATATTAATGAAAACCATTTGCAACTATTGCTATAACTCACTTTATCTAATATTCCAGGTTTAACTGCATTGTGCGGCAGTCCAAGTTGTTGTAAACATCTCTCACGTTCTTCCATTAGTTGACCCAGTGTACCTACCAGCTGGATGACTGCTTGTTCTACATATGCTAAACTAGACTCAAACCCTGCCCCCTCAAACCCATGTGATGCTCTCCGAATTTGCAGGATGGCAGGTTTGGTAAGTGTTGATTTAATTGAATTCAATCTGGAGTCTGCTTCAATTACAAGTTTACGCTGGTTTTCTATTTCATTCAGAGCAGCGGTAAGTTTTTCTGCCCAGCCATTACGTTCTGTTTGAAGATGCTGACACACAAAGTGTTCCACGTGCGCTCGTTCCCTCACTAACATTGAGCTGTCTGTAGCATGTAGTAATCTTGTCACAAAATGAGTGACTTTCTGATTTATATCTGTATCCACATGTACCACAGGTGGAGGTTTGCCTTGCGGGGTCGTAGCGACACTCATACCTTCTGAAACATGATGAATTCAGAAAAAATGAAGAAATATAGAAATGTTTAACAGTTTTTTTGTCACGACCAAAAAGTGGTGACATATTGTTATGGTCACCGTTTTTTGTCTGCGTTTGGTGGTTGGTGGTTGGCGATTGGCAATCGGCGTCTGTAACAAATTCTTTCAACTTCCAATAACTTAATAAATACTAAATGACTGACTTCAATTTTTTCAAAATCTTCTACAAGTTTTCAGAAGTTCAAATCTACTCCATATTTAAGATTTGACCTTCAATGACCTTTTCAAGGTCACAAAAAGGTCAAAAAGGTATTTTTTCAACTTGCCTCAAATTGACCAATTTATTTTTTCAAAATTATCTACAGTTCTCAGAAGTTCAAATCTGACATAAGATTGAACTAATAATATTGTGAGCAACTAGGTAGTGACATTTTGTCATGTTAATGCCTTGTTTTAAATCTGCAACTCCTTGTAATTTCGAAAAAACAAAATTTAAAAAATATTGTTATATCTCCTTTAATTGTCACATAATATTGAATCTCATACTAGTGTAAATTGATAGAGTCAAATCATCACAGTAATTTCGGTTAAAGGGTCCTTATTTTTCAAATAAATCCCTTTAAATATATCTCTAAAAGTTGTAAAAATATAATCCAGTAAGAAATACAAATGATGACATAAATATATACTATACATGTGAAACTTACCTTTTGTTTGATATATGTGCTAGCTTCTTGTCTCCATGTGAGAAAGCTCCGTCCAAACACTTTGAAATAAATACTTCAATCTACTTGAACCTGAATATTCTCATATTTCCATATCTTGTATCAAAGCAAGTTGAAGTTTCTATGCAAGGTAGATTAGTGAAGGTTTAGAATAATAGCTGAACAGGATTGGCTTTCTATTTGAGTAGGATTATTGGAGTGCTTGAAATGAAATGGAATTAATCCTGTTTGGAAGTGACCCGGGGTATTAAGACAAATCTAGTGAAAGGTATTCATATATTTTGTCTTCTATTTGTGTTTAAAGCACTATTATGTATGATATCCATTATAGAGATCATAATGGGTGCATGTATAACTCTGAAATAATGTTGTCCTCTGTCAGCCAGTATAGCCATTCATCATATATTCAATAATGGAATATTGCTTTATAGCTGAATAAATAGATGTCTCCACTTGTTTTTTGTAATTATTTATTTTGGTTGGGCCAGACTGCCATAAAAACTTGCAATAGTCACTTAATCTGCACATATAAGGGAAACTGAAATACAGATATTTATATATACAGAATAAAGTGTTAAAATGAAGTTGGCTATGGGGCTCCTAAATTATTATAGCAAATATATTTGATTGGAGCATGGTCACCTTATGTCATGCCCGGTTATCGGAGGAAATGAATGGTGGGGGAGTAGCCAATTTTCAACCAATTTGAAAGATCTTTATTTTTAAAATGAGAAATATGTGAGGTATATACTTTTAAGTGACGTTTTTTTCACAAAATTAATGTCATTTCTGGTTTTTTAAAATTAGCTTCCATACGTTAGATAAAAAATAATCAAAAATATTTAAATTTAATGGAGGGGAGGGAGTGAAAAATAGGAACTTGGAGTTATTAGAAATAAAGTTGTTACATCTCTTATCATGTCTTAATGATAGCATGAGGCCGTAACATATTTAAGGCCTTAGAAGAAGGTAATCTGAGGGTATCTGATGTATTTATAGTCCATGGCACAATAGTTTACATTTGTAATAAATCATTAAAGGACAACTGAAATAGCTTTTCTCAACTTGCAGCTACAAAAATGCGGTTTTCTCCATTCTAAGCCCAACGTAGAGTTCTTGCGATAGCCATTATAAAATGAATGTTAGATAACTGCTAACGGTCATAGATAACGAAATAAAACTAACTGATCAATCAAATTGGCCCCCAAGCGATTAGTAACATCATATACAAAATATAGCTTTGGTTTATTGGTTCCTTAGTAATCACAACGTCACGGCAACCATGGGATTGTTGTGTAAACAAATAACAAACATTTTGGCATTATGATGTCATGATCTAATGGACCAAAACGGGCCACGTGGGGGCCAATGAGAGATCACGTGGGGGACAATAACGTCACAATCAATTCAAATATTGCTTATTAAGCAGCTAATAATGACCGTTAGAGTGAAATAATTTTCACACTTCTGATGAGAAAACATGTCCAAATACATTTATCAAAAAATCATATTGATTCCTTTAGGTTAAAAATACCATTTCATATCTCCTTTAATTCAGTTTTAACAGTTTTCTGGAAGGTTTCACGTTCACAGTGACTCAACAATGTATGTATCATTTAAAATCAATATATTATAATGAAGTGTATTTTTAGAGCTGAAATCTCAAATGTCAAAATGAAAATGATTGATTCTTTAACGAAATCACAATGATGCAACAGTGTATGTTTTAAAATCAATATTTTAGAATGAAGTGTATTTTTTAAATAAATAAGATTAGTGTCAGAATGAAATGGATTACATGTATCACAATTTAAAAAATAAGAAATGTAGAAATGATTTACTTTTTATTTATGATTAATATCTAAATGTGCTGGGTTATGGGCTTACATGGACAAACATGACAAAACATAAATTCCGACTTTCAGGGAGTGGAACCGTGTAGTTCTTTCGTGGAGTACACAGAAAATGCATTATAAAAATGGCCATCTTTAATTCAAAAATTAGGTAGGTGTAGTTTTATTTTGTTGTCCGTGAATTTACTTTTAATACTTCATTGCCTGCCAATAGGTTCATCACATTCCTAATACTTGGGAGAAACATTCAATTGTCACAAATTAATACTCTATTTAAAGATATGTCTTACATCTAGGATATATCTTGAAATAACCCCCAGGCTCACTCTCAAGCTCAAGTTATACTGGAACCAATTAGTCGAGGCATTGGATTTTTTGCCAGTTTCAACTATTATTCACCTTAACAGCTATATATCAAAGGATAAAAAGTGATGTACTTAACAATGCTTACAATGAACACAATTATAAATAGATGAACCCTCAAAATGTGCAATTATGAAAGTAGAGGTCAAACACGTAATGTTTCCCTTATCAATGCCCATCAAACTACAATATCAATAATGATGATAATTATACAAATTATTAAAACACCTAATATATAGGCAATCACACTTCTTTCGTGTGTATTGCCACTGGCAGTGATTCGGGTATGGTGTCTATATGTCAACAGTTCATTAAAATGAACTTAACCCCCTTTTCAATATTTCAAAATTTTTATATTCTGTGACGCCACCACACATCGCTTTTTATGGACAATGTTTGGCAGTTGGTGTTTGGTCAGGTCAGCATCTGTAAAAAATGACAGGTGGTGACAATTTACATGTTAAGGTTGACCTTGCGCAATTCAAATCCCATTGTACATTAGATCATTTTTGATTGTCTTTATGATTTAATTGTGCCTTTGAAATTGATTCTCCTAAATGGTCACCAAGATGCTTGAATTCGTGGAAATTCTGAAATGCAGGGTTATCCAGAAGTAATGTCTAAGGAATAGGTGATGAATTTCATGTCATTTTAGAATGCAAAGCTTTAAGTTATATTAGAAAAAGGTACCTTCCTAAATGTTATTTGACAAATCCAAACACACAGAAGTTTGAGAAATTAATGAATTCAAACAAAAATATACTTATAAAACTTTGTAAATTTTTAATCGAGGCTGGGCAAAAAATGTGCATTTATAATGTTATCTTAATGTTTGTTACTGTATTAGTTAAGTTTATCTTTTGTACTCTTATACCCTATAAAGGGTAAATTGAGAAATCAATAAATAAAAAAAATATATCAAAGATGTTGCCATTATTCAGTGCTATTCTACTATTTGATTGGTCAATTTCCTGATTTCTATGGTTACTTGATGTGAGGTCAACCGGGGCAAATTATTTGCTTTAGTAAAAAATTGAATGAAAAATGTAAAAAGAAAATATTATGATAATATTATTTCATGGTATTGTGTCAAAGATTCAGAACATATAAAGGAAAAACATAGGAAAACGTAGCTTCACAAAATCAATATAGAAAATCTACATCATACTGCTTATCCCTATATTTTATGCTGCATAAATCTCTTGATTTTTATGAAGCTAAGACCGCTGTATGGTTGCCGTAAGTCAGATGTGACTGAAGCATGATTAGTGACGATGCAACTTGAATAAATACATTTTTTTAAACTTGAGAGTATCCACTAACAGCACATATACAATTATGGAAAAAAATCGTCCAAAAGTCTGCTACTGGAAGGCTAGCCATCTTGTTACAAAGACACAGTGTTCTGTATTGCATTGGGTCCTAGTGATACATTCTCCCATATACAATACTGTACAAATAGGGTCAATGTTAGGTTGAGCTACGTTGTTTAAAACAGCCAAATAACATGTTTCATTGCTATTTTAATTATTTTATCAGATAAATCGTAGTCATTTATTATAGTGCATTGATTTGCATTATTCATTCACAAGTGAACAAAATCACAATATTAAATGAATGAATCAAGTTTAGGTAGGAGGAGAAAGGGATGTAATGTTTAGTAATATTAACTTTTTGTTTCATCTTCATTTATAGTGATTATATTTGACTGTTCAATATAAAAAATAAGTTTAAATCAACCATTATGAAATATGTACTGTACACAGTATAAATTATGAACATGTAAAAAGTGTAAAACTGATTTTGAGAAATGTAATTAATATATGTACACTTTGCATGTGGTTTTAACAATAGCCCTCTAGGGCACACAATTTAATTAAAATATTTGGTGATTAGTTTTTTTATATTAAGTAATTTTGAAAATGGGTTTCAGGTTAGTATTGCAATGAATTTGTACTGTCAACAAGTAAAGCTAACTTAGAAAATAGTGAAAAAGATACAGTTCATCATTGAAATTCAGACATAAATATTTGGATACCTAATAGGCCTCAATGCTAGTTATGTAATATATATCATTCAAGATGCTGGATATTGATGAACTGATTCAGGTGAGATGTTTAGAAATAAATCACATATCTGGATGTTCAGATTTTTATTTCCTTTTTTTAATTGATACATTTTCTATATATTTCATTTCCCTCGAAATTTTAAATTCTATAGACATGTCCTTTAAATCCCATATTAATTTGTGAATCAGATGAAACAAAGATATATTTTTAATTGAAATATAACCTTATGTATTTCAGACAGGTAAATATATAATATAAAGCATGAAGTAAGTTTTGCATAAGTTTCACTAAGTTTTGCATAAAATTTATTCAAGGGACTTTCAAAATAGTTTTAAAAAATTGTACACTTTTTTATCATACAATTTTTATATAGATTCAAAAATAACAGTTTAATAAGATCTACTCACAGGAATCTGGAAATGGCTCAAACAGATAATCAGTTTTTCTATGATACAAAGTCCAATTCATGGATACTTTACGTTCATCTAGACAGGAACTTGAAATTTTATCACTAATTGTCACAAGTTTCTTAATTAATCAAATCATAAGTGAAGAAAGAATCTAACTGTAAACCCATGTTTGTTAAGTTCACCAATGCACTGTAAAGTGTTTGTTTCCTGCTCTTTTAGCTATTTACACACATGATAACCAACGGCTGTCATACCTCTGACAGCCAATCATATTTCTACTTGCATTCTAGCTTGCTCTCACCCATGATTCTCTTTCAACCTCCCAGGAACAAGTAGGGGCTTTTAAGTATTGGTGTTTCTGCCCTTTTTGTAAGTGTCACATGAATATAGCCAATGTTTTAAGGGTAAATAATTTAGATTAAAATTAACAACATTATTGGAGCATGTCTCCCATTATTGAAAATTTGTCAAAAATAAACAAATTTATTTTTTGATATTTTTAAAGAAAAATTGGAATATTTCAAATGAGTTGAAGCATTTTACCAAAGAACAGCTTTTCACACTTCACGTTTATGGATAGTTCAGTTGAGAAAACTGGGATTTCTCTGATATTTCCTTCATCAATTAATATATATGAGTTTGAATCATTGCTTTTTTACAGGAGCTGTGTTCCTGTGCAGATCAGATAGAGTTCCATAGTCTGTCAAGCCAGACACAAGGGACCGAAGGATATGAAGAGAATACGGGACTAACTGATGGGAGTGCGGATGATACAGTACAAGTAGTTCCAACTGACTGCATACGAACAATAGTGGATGCACATATCAAAGATGCAGAGGACATTGTCGAAGATATAAACACTAAGGAACATCAAAGTAACATTGAAGATCTTGAAAATGTCATTGATTTCTCATCTGCTTTCTCAGATGATGATGACTGGCAAGTCAATGTGAAGACTCCAAAGACTTCAATCAATTCTGATTACAGCTCTGTATTTTTTAAAACTAACAATTCTCCAATTGTTCCGTCTGAGAGAATTAACCATGACGATACAATCAACGATACTGTAGATGAGGACTACAGTGGAATATTTGACTTCTCGACCCCGACACATGATATAATCAATTACACCACTACTATTGAAGATTTTGTAAATATTGAAAACTCCAAGAGTACAAATATAAAATATTCTGTTGGTGACAGGAACACTAGTAATACTATCATTGACTTTGCAAGAATTCCAGAAATAGAGATTAAGCAGGAAATTACAAATGATTCTCTACAAGAAGATGACAATATTGAAGTTGGTAGGGATAGTGAAATAATCGACTCTTCACATGACGAAGACACTGTTGTTCCTGATACCGATAGCCAAGATACAGGAAAGATACTGGAAGCAATATTGTCTGATATAAAACAAACTGTGGATGGTGCTGATGTTGATGCAACAGATGTAGACTATCCAAAATCTGGAGGTAAGAATTTTGAAATCTATTTTTATATTTGGCTATTAACACATGTTTCATTAAGGCATTGCAAAATATTGTTTTATATTTTTAAATCTTAATATTAAATTCTTATTTTCAGAAAAGCCAGTTCCAATTAAATCTGAAATGAAAGTTGAGTATTACCATAGTCCCATCCATAACACTATCTCACCATCCCCCAGTCCAATATCTAGTTTATATTCCACCCCCATCTCTTGTTTACAACCCTCTTCCAGCTCTAGTTTACATACCATCCCCAGCTCTAGTTTACACCCCACCCCCAACTCTAGTTTACACCCCACCCCCAACTCTAGTTTACACCCCACCCCCAGCTCTAGTTTACACCCCACTCCCAGCTCTAGTTTACACCCCACCCCCAGCTCTAGTTTACACCCCACCCCAAGCTCCAGTCCCCAGCCAGACCCCCGCTCGAGTCTACCCAACAGGCCAACAATGGAGGATGCTTGCTGTTTCTACGAGACCACAAACTATGAAGCCAAATGTAGAGACCCTCATGCCTATCTATCCAGGCTCAGGTAAAATCCCCATGCTCAATTTTCATTATTTTAAACATATTGTACATAATTAAAGATGTCATGTTAAAATGATGTATGTCATGTTAACAGATTGAGAGGAAATATGCATGAAACACATAGCACACAATATAAAACTTCATAGAAATTATATGAGTTCTCACACATTTAGTAAGAAAAGTAATAAAAAAGTAGAGCAACATTCTAATAGCAATTGTGGCCACAAAGTGTGCCATGCCATCATAAAACAACAGACCTAGGGAATAATTGAAGAAATTCAATAGATGTCAACTGTGCATATTAGTAATCATGGCCTGCTATTAATATTCATGGTGCTATTAATTGAAATAATGAAATGTCTTCCCTGGCTTCATAAACGCCAGAACACTATGTCAAGTAAGAGGCTTCCTCTAGTAACTTGATCATTTACAGTTCAAAACAACTGGTATCTATGTACGATTTTTTAATTAAAAAGAGCATAGTATGACACTTGAAGAAAACTTGCATTAAGGTAAAGTATTGTTTAGTTTATTCTCATGATTTTTATTATATTTTTATTACTTTTGTTACAAACATTTTTTCAAAGTTTGTAAAGTCATGACATAAAAATTTATATATTTCTTATAATAGAGCCTATGTTTATATTATATTTACATTTATGTTAACACATTAATGTTTACTTCCATTTAAATTATAAATATATAGTAAATATATAAGTTTATTAATTCATGAATTTATGGCTATATCATATGTGAATGTTAATAGTAACCTGCTTCAATGTAAAATATAAACTATTTAAATGACACTGCTTACTTTATTTGCAGCTTACTAGTGCATCAGAACAGCAGTAAATATTTCCCATTGAAAGCATCTAAAAAGTCGGCACAACAATTTGAGAACCTGGAATCTAGAAACATGTCTTCTCCAGCCCTCGCAACTCCATATATGGGCTCGTCACAGTTTGGAAATGACCCAGAAAGCCAGATGTATCAGGAAAGGCCTTACGATTTAACGATGCATACCAATGCCCCTTACATCCCAGCCCCTCCCATTATCAAATCTGAACCCAGAGATCTGAGCTACGAACAGAACGGTAAGTGGAATATTTTAAGTATTTGAGCAAGAGAGTTATCATCATTATCAGATAAATTAATAACTAAATATATTTCCATTTTTAGACTTCAAAGAAGCTCCAATATTTAATCTAGGTTACAGATTTTGATACATTTTGTCCCATATTTCAACCAGTTTCCTTTTGGGAAGAAGATTCTTTTGGTACCTCCTAAGATCATTTGTAATTACTCATTATATGATAATTTGTTCATTTATCCTCAACTTTTAGTATTTTTAGTTGAGTCTTTGCAAATTGAGCCAAAAATATTTTTTCTAACCAACCATGTTTAGTATACAACACAGATATACAGTATGACATTTCAACTAAGGCCCAAAATGAAATATTATAAGCTAATACACACTCCTATATAAATAACCATTCAAGATGATGACACGAATCCATTGCTTCAATTTGAAAGAATATAACATTGTTAGCCATTCTAGTAAAATAGCATTGTTTACATTTTCTGGTAAATAATGGGGCAATTTATATCAATTTATTTTCTGTTGATCAAATATAACTACATCTTATCCCTTGATTATGTAAATACACTGTGCTAGTAAAATAACAGCACTGATGTAAACGATATCAAGCTACATAATGTAACATTTTTATGATTCCGGTTATTCGAATTGTAATGTTTGGAAAAAAATGGGATGAATCAATCAAAATATCTGATTTTTGTTGATACAATTCTATCAACTCATTGTAATTCATATAAGCATGTGTGAACTTTATGATGAAACTGATATTCATTTAATTGTACTCGTATATGTAGTTGTACACCGCATGTACAGTTGTGTACTTCTTGCAGATGAAATAGTAATTGTGAGAAAATATCTTTACCTATATTGCATTATTGTACATTATACATAATAGTCGAATAGTGTTCTTTCAATAATGAAGCTTGAAATACATGTATTATATGATAAAGACGCAATTTGTGTTTATTATATTTCCATTATAACGAAATTAGAGTTTTCAAGTTTTTATTATTAATGATTGGATAAAATGAAGTTAAATTTGAACGTCAGAAAAAATGTCTCTGTAAAATTAATTTTGTCTTCAAATTGAAAAATACAAAAATTTAAATAACATTTGATTGATATTCAATTATGCTGATCAATAGCCGAATGTTATTGTGAAAGTGTGGCTAGATACATCAATTACGACCTGACTGTGTGAATACAAAAATTAATTTTGGATTGCTCTATAATTTTACAAAATATTAAATGGCTTGTAATCATCATTGATGTATTAATTATAAACCAATTAAGCTCCCTAAAATAATAACATGCCTTGATTAAACAATGTGTGGTCTTTTAGCAACATCTAAATGAACTCACTGGGATGTTGTCGAGAGACTATTTTAGATTTTTGGTCAGAGACCTTACTTCAAGTGTTTTATTAAAAAAAGTCGCAATCCTGAAATAAACAATATGTAACTTTTTGGGAAAGAATATATCACTACGGCTATACATAATCTAAAGAGCAAAAAAACAAAAGCTATTGGTATTAAATTCTACTAAGTCTGTTAATGGTGCTAATTTGGTAATTTTCCATTTATCTTATGTATCAAGTCTACCCTTGTTTTTTCAGAATATTATTAGTTTTTGCAACTTGTTAGAAATTAAAAATGATAAAAATTGAATTAAACAAATTGAGGAATTAAAACAGAAATAGAGTTAATATTTGTATCATGACCAATACAATACACAATACATGACATGCTAATCCCAACCTTTGGTTTATTTCTTAGATTTTATATCCTGTCATGCAGTGTTTAGTTGAAGAAATCACTCTTGTGTTTACTCTTTCTTAATTTCTATAGACTAAAGATCACGTTTCTTGACCCTTATTAATAAAATTGATGATTAATTACCATTTGTAGAATACAGTAAATCAATTTAAGTTTCCCGTATTGAATACTTAGATTTTAATTGGCTTTAATAGGCTATTGGGGCTCGACAAATAAATCATAGCAATGCCTTGTAGAAATAATCAATAATGGTGACTTTGGTGTTATATTCTCTCAAATTCTACATTCTTTATGGAACCATTGTCTCTCAAAGAAGACACAATTCATAGTCTCTGATGTTTTGACAGTTTCTAGTAATCTTTCTTGAATATTTAATATCCTTGCACAGTTGCTGGGTATTTTACTTTTAATTCTCATCATTAATTGTGTATGAAAATGATTTGCAGAATTTCGCAGCAGATTAACTTATTCTACTTCTTGTTAAAAGAGACAAAGGTATTAATTTGTTTAAACTCAATACTCCTATTAGGGGAGGTCATTGGTGGTAATATTCCATACTCCATATTGTGACCTATTGATTCCATGTTTTTTCCATATTTCATTCTCCCAATATAATAAATATTCCAATATTTCAATATACAATGTACTCCCCCCCCCTTCCCGATTATGTTGTTGGAAGACTTGAAGGTTTGAGAGGTCAATTAACGTGAAAGAAAGTTCAACTAAAATGGTTTGATTAGATTAAATAGGTCAGTAAGCAGTAATCAATCTCATTGCAAACGCGAGATGCACCTTGAATATAAAACAAATCAAATGAGTTGCCCATAAGGATGTTATAGCTTTTTCGCTCATGTAGGCTTTGGATGCTTTTATTTGAATTGACAGCAATTGAGGATAATTTCATTTTAACATATTGAAATATATCATTTTTGCTCTAAATTTTTCCAATTTTGTCTCTAAAATAATCATCATCTTTAGCATGTAATGAAGGTCTTTGTATTATGTTTATGTTTTCTTTGTTTTATAATAAACTAATAATTATTATATGTAATGGGTTCAATAGTTAGTGAATAAGGCATAAACTTCAGATGAACTTTTGTTCTTCACGATATGATCATTTTTTATTTTCATAATTTGGATGTAATAATGTAATGAGGTATGTTATATGCCTTTGGAAATTTCTAGATTTTTTGTTAAAGGGACTTGTAACTTCTAAATTATTTCTCAAATTTCCTAATGTTTGCTTAGACATATGTGTAGAATTGCAAATGCAACCTGACTCAAAACTCCTTATAGGGGAGAAATTTTGATGTTGGAAATACCCCCAAGGTGACTTCCGTGACATGTCTTGGGAGTTCTTCACTTCCTTTTTGCCACAAATATGTGTCAGCAAGAAAATCATCTAAGCATTTCCGAACGAATGGTTCATGAGATGCCAGAATCATCAATAGAATTCATCACTTTTGTTAAAAATGGTCTGCAGATCTGCACTTTTCGTTCCCGAAATGAATCTGTTTTCGTAACTAGTTTGAAGAGTTCCACTTGTGGCTGTAACTTCATGTTGATAGTTTTAATTTCCCCAAAATATATATCCATTACTCCATCATTTTTTTATTATTCTTTAGCCCATTTGGCCAAATGTAATTGAAATATGTCCCTTTTATTTACAAGGTACATGTTTATAAAGCCAGTAATTCTAGAAGTCAGCAGATAATACCCCGAAGCATCATCAGGATACTGGGTAGAATTAATTATATGTAACTTACACCACAAATCTGAAGAAATGGATTTGAAACTCGAGGAATCTTGTCTTGGCCCTATTATGCTGCAAGAGAGACTGTAGTTTTCAAGGCCTGACTACTCATGCATGAGAAATATAAATAACAGTAAAATCTGTCTTTGTAAACAAAACTTTCTCATGTATACCTGTATTTTAAGTGGACACCCTTCCTCCGTATAAATTACCCTTTCTGTTGTGAACACCTACTAAGTAGTGGTTCACCCAAGTGACCATTTTTTCTTGGCCAAATATGTTCAATATTCACAGGTTTTACTGGATTAATTTCAATATGCTCAGCATAATAATACAGACTATAGCAAGTAAATAAATAAATATCACATAATATAATTTTTAAATGGAAAATTAGTCCGAAAATGGGGTTTAATTTGGAAAGTTGTCTAAACAGGTTCAAGAGAGCTCATTTGAGAAACCATAAGAGTCTGATTAATTATTTGAAATAAAAGTTGTTTTGTACGAATGGTTTATTCAGTTATTCCATGTCTGTATTAAGTTTGAAAGGCATTCTGACTTGTTTGATGTGATCAATATCAAAAGAGGACTTATTCTCTTATGATTGCATGTGTTTTATAATTTATTTGGAGAACATTATTTGTAGAAATTTGAAGAAAATACATTCGATATATTCAAAAATGTAGAGATTTAAGATAATTATGAAGAAGTTAAACATATCTGTTTTTTAATTTCTAAATTATCTTACATTTAGGATTACAAATATTTTAATCGTGTCTCTGAGTCTACCTTTAATAAAGTATATTCCACTGTATTTTTGGCTCATTTATGTAATATTTTGTTGATTGCTATCATGAATGTTAGACTCCTATAGTATGCATGCTATATGAGAACAAGGCTATTGGATCAGAAAGTGAGCCTCCCTGTCAACTCTGCATAGTACAATGATAGATAGCCACCTAGATTACTCACAGATTTTTTCATCATCAATTATCACATCTTAAAATTCAATTAATCTTAGCAACACGCCTAATGAATACACGGTTTCTATACAGAGGTACAAGATAATATGGCTTCTAGCTTAGTGTGTACCTTAAAGGTGAAATGTCTTGATACCATCAATTGACAAAATAATTGCCAAAACATAATAGTTTATAGTTCGGTGTACAAAATATTTGAGCAATTGCAAAACTTTTCGAACATATCTCTTTTAGGTAAACTGAAAAAGTTCTTTTGCCAATTAAGACATAAATACATCAAGAAATCAAACATTTTATATATTTCTGAATTTAAATGTTTTTTTATGGAATGTACCCCAAAGTACTATGTAGGTGTATAATGAGTTAACAGGTCAACTTGAATATAAGAATTGCACTAAACATAGTTTTCTCTAAAGGGAATGTTTGAAAAAATTCACTCTTAAACATTTTTATAACAATTGGATAGAATTTAATGTAAGTTGTAAAATAT